ACCTCGCTCCTCTCACTGGAGGGAAGCCCAGACAGCGCTGAAAAACCACCTGAGCGATGGGCTGGGAGGAAAAGCTGGCGGCTCTTCTGACGTGCGTGTGTGCAGACAGGGGGGAATTCCTGCTCAAATCAATTCCGAGGCGGATGCGGGCTGCGGGGAGCTGCCTCCATTCAGCTCCGCTGCCGAGGCGTCACCGCAAATCCCATTATTGCCCAAACTCGGCACGGCCCCGCTCCGCCGCCGCCGGGGAAGCTCCGTTCCCGGCGGAGAGGGGTGCCAGGGATGTGCCACGGGCACAGCAGCGTGCCGCTCCCGGGGCTCCCGGGCACCCACCCCGCTCCTTCCCTGCCCCGCGGGCATCGCCCTCCTCGCCCAAAAGCCACCCCAGGTGGGCACAGCGAGGATGGGCTCAGGCCGCTCCGGGCAGGCTCAGGCACGGCTTAAAGCTTCAATCCCTGCTCAGAAAAGCACCGCAGGGGGCAGGAACCCAGCGGGACCCTGCCCAGCTCCCCCTGCTCCAGCCCTGTGTTCCTGCGCAGGAAACATCACACCCACCCCAGGCCCTTCTGCAGCTCTCCCTGCAATTTTGGCTACTGCCAGCTCCAGCACCCAGAATGGCTTCTCTGCCACACTTTTAAGGGGATGCTGCAGTTTTAAACCACAAATTAAATTTTTAATGAAACTTCATAACTGTTGTACCCAAATGTAATGTAATATTGATAGGAACTGTGCATCCAGCTAGCATGAGACTGCCCTAGAAAGCTTTTTAGGATGTTATGCAATATAGAGCTAAATTAATTATTTGTAATGAAAGGATCTGTGTCCCTGTAGCATCACAGAGACCTACTGGTACAGAGACCACACTCCCGAGCCTCACTGAGTGTAAATGTCAGGCAATTTAGGAAGAGACTGGCTGGTGAGATGGGAGCAATGAAAGCAAGGGAAGGGAAAAAGGGAAGAGAGTGAATGTGCGAGAGAGGGAGAGAGAGAGAGGGAGAGAAACAGAGGGAGAGATCTGCAAAGAAAGACTGCAGCAAAATGCAGCAAAATTCCCAACTCCTGTCCAGAGTGTGTCTGTCACAGAAGGGAATACTCCATCTCACACACGGTGTGTGCAGTGGCTGCACCCGTGCCTGAGCTGCTCTAGTGACAGCTGCACCCTTTAGAAGGCACAAAAAACCCCATTTTGCATATACAGCATTCTCAACAGAACCATGGAAAAGCTGGGGGCTGTTTCCCTGGTTCAGCTGCAGCAGGAAAAGGCTTTGGAGGTGATCTTGCCCCCCCACATCTGGGTTCTGCACAGGCAGTGGTGCTGTAACCAGAGACCCTGTCCTTGCTGCAGTTTCCCCAAAAACAATTCTTCTATTGAAAACAATAAACAATACTTCTATTAAAAAACAAAACAAAACCAAAACCAAAAACAAAAACAAAAACAAAATCAAAACCAAAACCAAAAAACCACCAATGTGGCCGTGTCTGCCCTGTCCTGCTTTGAGCCTGCTGGGGATGGGGTGTGGGGCTGCAGGGGACGGTCCCTCAGTGACAGCAGGGGCACAAGCAGCAGCTCCATGGCGAGACAAAGGGAGCTGAGCTCCTGGAAGTGTGGCCATTGCTGTTCCCCATCTCAAGCCGCCTCCATCCCATAATGGATCTCATCGCTCTCACTCCGCAGAGGAGACTTAACTGCGGAATCAGCATCACCCCACAGGAGATGGTTTATGTACAGCAGGCTGCACAAGCAGGAGGGAAAGCTTCCACTGCCTGCTCCCTGGGGCTCCAGCTCCTGGGATTAGAGAGATTTGTCCACTTTAAAAAGCTGTCCTCTCTGCATTGGTGATTCCTCTAACACAGAGGTTAGCGTGGAGCACAGACTGACACCCCTCACCCCTGCACGGTGAGGCCACGGTGCTGGGAGCACCCTGGGCTGTCCAAAACCATCCTCGTCCATCACAGTACAAATGTGCCTGCTGGCTTCTGTTCAGGGCTAAATCATCTGCGAGGGTCCTTGGGAGCTGTGCTCAGCTCTTTTCAGCCACAGAGCCACAAATCAGCTGCTGCCGAGCGCCTGGGAAGAGGCAAGAGAAGAGTTAAAAACAGGGGCTCCATTACTCCATTACAGCCACACAGCTCCTAAATCCACAGAAGCAATAACAGATCCTACTGCATGATTCAGTGATTCTGGGAAAGCTGAAATCCTGATCATGTTTTCCGGTTCTTTCTTTGCATTAGGAGCCACGGGGGTTATTTTGCTTATCTCTTGTAGCACGGCTTTGTTGTTTCTTCCCATTCAGGCATTTCCTGGTCTCCATCACCATAGCATCCGAGTGTTTATTTTATTGCATTTGTCACCTTGGTCTCATCTCCGCATAATGTGCTACGGATGACAAAAGATTGTGAGGGAAATTGGTTCAGTGACACGCTCAGCTCTGCCAGGGCTGTGCAGATGTGAGCAGGAGTGGGACCCGGCTCTGCTGCCTCTCACACTGGTTTACACTGGTGTCATTCTATTGCCTGCAGTAACATTATTTTTGGGTTGTGTTCCTGCCTGTGGCAGGATTAGACCTGCAGTCTTGTCAGCTTTTCTTTTTGCCAAAAAACCCCAAACCCAACCAGCACAGAAGGGAGAGTGCTCTGCCCAGCAAACCCCATGGGGTCTGTCCCCTCCTTATCCCCCTCCCTCCCTCCCTCCCTGCTGCTGCTGCACTGGAACACTGCTCAGCACAGAGCCAGCAGCAGGGACAGTAACCAGGGTGATAGAGCCAGAAGGAAGAGCCTGCTGGAAATGCAGATTTTCTCCCCAAATTTCATGCGCACAACACCCCAGAGGGGAGCAGTGCCAGCGGTGTGAGCAGCCCTGCAGGTGAGCAGCACCACGGGTGGCTCTGAGCTGCACAGGCAGGACCAGCAGTGAGACCCAGGAGCCTCAGGAAGGCTCCAAAGGACACCCAGGTTCATGAGCACTAGGACAGGTTGGATGGATGCTGATGAAAGCACTACAGGATGCCCACAAAGGTGCCCCAGAGGTGCTGAACACCCTGGTACAACTCCTGAGCTCTCAGCCACTTTGGTCAGCACTGCCCTGGGTACCCCAGGCTGGCATAAATGGGGAGCAGAGCATCTGAGGTTTGCCAGGCTGCCATCCTGCTCCTGCTGAGAGCCCCAGGCCCCTGGGTTTGGCCATGAAACGCTGCTTTTACTGTAGCACAGCAGGGCTGGACAGGGAAACAGGCTCCCAAGGGCAGCTGATCTGCCTTTGAGGAGGAAACACTCCCTGCCACGTCAGTGTGCCACAAACCTCCCGGGGCTGGATAAAGACCTGCTCCAGGAGAGGCATCAAACCAGTCACAGGTACCACGAGAGCAGCTCAGGGAGCTCCAGCCCCAGCCAGGGCTCCTCAGGCCTGCTCCAGGCAGATCAAAGGGGAAAGGACCATGGAGCCCTCGTGTTTTATCTTCTGCAGATCCGTGGACTGAAAGTCTTTGTATTTTATTGACCCACTTCACTAATCAAAATTAATTGCTTCATATTTCGCAGGATAACTTGGCATTATGCAAATACTCCAGCCATATGTGCTGCTGCAGTGCCGAGCTGAGCTGAGCTGAGCTGAGGGGCCACAGTCCCCCACTACCCCTGCAGGCTGCTCTCCAGGCCAGGAGTTTCCTACCACAGCAGGAGAGGACAAGGATAAAGCCAACAGGCAGGAGAGGCTCAGGGAGCTGGGACAGCTCCGTTTGTGCTCAAAGTGTCCTGGCCAAGGATGTGGGGAACAAGGGCAGGGGACACTGCTGGCTGAATGAGAATCGGCCTCGGCTGAAGTGCTGAAGATGAGAAAAGTGACAGCTCCAACAGCCACGAGCTATTCACCAAGGACAGATCCAGACATTACCTGCAAGGTTCTTTCGCTGATTAATAAAGCAGCAAAAAAACTGCTCCCCTGCACCCAGAGTGGGGCTGAGCACCGTCACCAGCAGGAGCAGCTGCCCCGGGACACAGAGTAGTTGGGGCCCATCCGTGCACCCCCCGGGGCCGGCAGCCCCCCAGTTCATCCTTGTTCTCCCCGCGGATCCCCGGGGCTTCCCCCGCTCCACCTTGCACCGACCCACGGGGCTGCCCCGGCCGCTGCTCCCGCAGCGCACCCGGGCACCCGCGGCCGCAGCCCCAGGAGCCCGGCACGGACACGCAGGGGACACGCAGGGAGCACCCACGGGGCACCCACGGCCCTGCTCCGGACACCGCACACACCCCGCACACATCGGTAGGTGCAGAGCCCGCACACAGCCGCGTGTACACGCACAGCCCGCACAGCCTGCACACACACGGACACACACGGACACACACACGGACACAGACACGGACACACACACGGATACACACACGGATACACACGCGGATACACACATGGAGACACACGCACACACATGCACACACACACGGACACACACGGACACACACACGGACACACACGGACACACACACGGATACACATGCACACACACGGACACACACGCACACACACGCACACACATGCACACACACGGACACACACACATGCACACACACATGGACAAACACACGGACATACACGCGGATACACATGCACACACACGGACACACACACACACACACATGCACACCCCGCACACACACGCACACCCCGCACACTCATCCCCCGCACACACTCCCGCACATCCCCGCAGCCCCTCCCTGCTCAGTCTCCCCTGCCCACGCGCCGCCCACGCGCGCTCCCGCCCGCCCACGGACACAGGCGGACAGACGGACAGACGCTGTCGGACACACGGACGCGCTCTCACGCTCACAGAATCACCACCGCACGCTCTCGCACTCGCTCACGCCGCGCTCCCACGCGGGGCCCCCCCGCCGCGGGCCGGGATTCCGCGCTCCGTGACGCCCCGCGCCGCCCCGCCCGGCCGCGATAAAAGCGGCGGCGCCGCAGCGGAGCCGGAGCCGGCCCGGAGCGAGCGGAGCCGAGCGGAGCCATGGCCGCGGGGCCGCCCGGCAGCCGCCGCCTCCTGCCGCTGCTGCTGCTGCTGGGGCCGGCGCTGGGGCCGGCGCTCGGCCAGGGCCTGGGGCAGACGCGCTTCATCTGCACCTCGGTGCCGCTGGACGGGGACGTGTGCGCCGCCTCGGCGCTGGGCACCGGCTCTGCCGAGGAGCTGAAGGGCACCGTGCTGCAGCTGCGGGAGACCGTGCTGCAGCAGAAGGAGACCATCATGAACCAGAAGGAGACGATCCGCGAGCTCACCGCCAAGCTGGGCCGCTGCGAGAGCCAGAGCGTGCTGGAGCTGCCCGGCGAGGGAAAGGGCAGGAAGGGCTTTTCCAAGAACACCATGGGCGACCTGTCGCGGCCGGCCGCCGCCGAGACCCTCAGCCAGCTGGGGCAGACGCTGCAGTCCCTGAAAACCCGGCTGGAGAATCTGGAGGTACGCGAGGAGAGCCGGGGAGCCGCACAGCCGGGCACCGGGAGACACGGGAAGCCGGGCACCCGCGCACCCCGGCACGGGAAGCGCGGAGCCGGGCTCCGGGCAGCCCGCGGAGCCGGGCACCGGGAGCCGCCTCCCGCTGGTAACAGCCCGCTCCTCTGCTCGCCCCTTGCAGCAGTTCAGCAGGATGAACTCCTCCAGCCAGACCAACAACCTGAAGGACATCCTGCAGAACAAGATCGATGACCTGGAGAAGCAGGTGCTGTCGCGGGTGAACAGCCTGGAGGAGGGCAAGCTCAGCCCCCGCAACGAGTCCGAGGAGCGCGGCAAGATCGAGAGCACCCTCACCTCGCTGCACCAGCGCATCAGCGACCTGGAGAAAGGTACCGGGCGCTGCCCACCCCCGCCCGCCCGCCCGCGGGACCCCCGGGCCGGCTCCCGGAGCCCCCCCGCCGCTGGGCACCGGGCGCTGCCGCACGATGCGGAGCCGCTCCCGCGGGCGGATCTGCCGAGCCCGTCCCGTTGCCCTCCCGGGAGCGGTCCCTCTCCCCCAGCCTGGCTTTCCCCGTGGCAGGGGTCGGGACTGGCTGATCGCTGAGGTCCCTCCCTACCCAAACCCTCGCTCGGTTCCTGAGGCGGTCGGTGCCCGCGGGCTCCGCACCGGGGATGCTCCGGGCGCTGCCCGCCCCGGGGATTAGGGAGCCGCGCGGCGCCGGAGGGATTTGCTCCTCGCTGCCATCTCAAGGCCCGTTACATAACGGGGTGGGGAGGGGGGGAACCCCCAAAGGGGCAGAAAGGGGGCCCGGCAGGAGCCCACCGCCCCCGCGCTCCCGCAGGCCAGAAGGACAACCGGCCCCCGGACAGGTTCCAGCTCACCTTCCCCCTGCGCACCAACTACATGTACGCCAAGGTGAAGAAGAGCCTGCCCGAGATGTACGCCTTCAGCATCTGCATGTGGATCAAATCCAGCGCCTCCCCCGGCATGGGCACCCCCTTCTCCTACGCCGTGCCCGGGCAGGCCAACGAGCTGGTGCTCATCGAGTGGGGCAACAACCCCATGGAGATCCTCATCAACGACAAGGTACGGCCCCGGGCCGAGGGGAGGGTGCTGGGCTGGGGGAGAGCATGGGGGACCCCCGTGTGCACCACCCTGACCCGCCGCCCACAGGTGGCCAAGCTGCCCTTCGCCATCAACGACGGCAAGTGGCACCACATCTGTGTCACCTGGACCACGCGGGACGGCGTGTGGGAAGCCTACCAGGACGGCACGCAGACGGGCAACGGCGAGAACCTGGCCCCCTACCACCCCATCAAACCCCAGGGCGTCCTGGTGCTGGGCCAGGAGCAGGTAAGGGCCGGGAGCAGCCGCGGGGTCCCCGCTCGGCCGTGCCCCCGAGGGGACAGCGGAGCCCCCGGTGCCCCGCTGACCGCGGCTCCTCCGCAGGACACGCTGGGCGGCGGCTTCGACGCCACGCAGGCCTTCGTGGGGGAGCTGGCCCACTTCAACGTGTGGGACCGCAAGCTGAGCCCGGGGGAGGTGTACGGCCTGGCCACCTGCAGCTCCAAGGCACTCGCGGGCAATGTCATCGCCTGGGCCGAGGCCAACATCGACATCTACGGCGGGGCCACCAAGTGGACTTTCGAGGCCTGTCGCCAGCTCAACTAGGGCCACGGACAAGCGAGAGAAACCTCCTCAGCGGGTTCTTTTATTTATTTGTTTTTTTCCTCCTTCTTTTGCGCAAAAACAACCGAGAACGAAGCGACCCGACTCGTCCCGGGAGCAGGGATGCCCCGGCAGCGGGGCGCCCGCCCCCGGAGCCCCACGACCCTCCGGTTTCTGTCTTGCCAACGTCCTTCAACGCCTGCGTGCCTTGGCCTGGCGCGGCTGCGCCCCCCCGCCGCCCCCCGGCCCGGCCCCCGCTTCGCCGCCGCTTCCCTTGGGCACCGGCCCCTGAAAAGGCTGCGGGGCCCGGCCCAGAGCCCCCCGGGGGCTCCTCTCTGTGCAGCCTGACCCCCGGCAGGGTGCTGCCCCCAAAGCTGGGGGAGAGTTGCAACATCCCCCCCACCCCAGCTGCGCTCCATTCCGGGGCTGGGACTCCGAGGAGGGGCGACCCCTCCGCTGCCAGCCCCGGGAGGAGCCGCCCCCCTGCCCCGGGGAGCCCCGCGCCCCTCCCCGGCCGGCGCTGCCCCCGAGCACCACAGCCATAGCCCCGGGCTGCGGCGGGCACCGGGGCGGGACCCCCGGCGGGACCCCCCGGCCCCGCTCCCCGACCTGCCGCACTCAGGTACCCCCGGCCCCGCCGCCTGCAGCCCCCCGAGGCTCCTACGCGCCGTAGCTGGTGACAAATAGCCTTTACCGTCCCCTCCGGTCCAGCTCCCACTGACAGGTCTGAAGCCTTTCTGCTTTTGATAATACACTCTTGTTTCTCTTACTGTAAGGGGAAGTTTATTACCAATAAAAAAGGGTATTTTTATGAAGATAAAAAAAAATATAGAATTATCAGTGCTCCCTGAGAGAAAAAAAAAAAGTGCTTTGAGATTCTGCAGGATAAAAAGAGATAAAGAAGCGTATTTTGGGATAACAGATGCATTTTGTATGGTTTCCTTTTCTAAACTCCTGGTTTGTACTACAGATTGCAGAAATCACTCCCCAGCCCCCTCCTGCCCCCCCAGGGCAGCCCTGGGCGGCAGCGGAGGATGAGGCAGAGAATTCACCCGGGGCTCCAGAGCCTCACGACCAACTCCAAAGATGCGGCAAAGAGACGGGCGGAGCGGAGGGGTCCCCGCGGGGCCGGGAGCTCCCCCGGCCGGGGCTGGGGGCCCGGAGCGCGGAGCCCGCCCCGCCTCGGCCGCTCCGCGGGGCCGGCGCAGGCAGCAGCACCCCCAGAGCGAGACCCCGCGCACGGCTCAGGGCAGCGCAGCCTCGGCCGTGCTCTTGGTGCGAGAAAAAAAGCCCCGAAGCATCGAGAGTTAATTTCAGTTCCTCCCAAGCCCCCGTTCACATCGGCGAGCACAGGCACAACCTGCTGAGAACAACAACGAGACCACGGCACGGGTTTAACCTCCAGCCCCAGGTGCGTTGGATTTGCCAAAAAACCACGAAAGGGTGTGATGTCAACACAGTGTACATAGTGTACAGTAGGGGAGAGAATCGATGTATCTTAATTTGTCATTATTTTGCTAACCAAAGCTGTACATTTTTCCTACTCCTGGCTCTGTCTCCTTTGGGATTTGAAGGGGTTCTGACACCCCGTGCATCCGGCCCGCATTGGCAGATCTGACAATGCACTGTTTCTACGGATTCTCATGCTTTTTCCATTTTATTGCTGGGATTACATGAATTGTTGACTTTATTTTTACACAATAAAGCGTGAAGAAAGACACCGGCTTCTCTCACATGTGTCTGTTCCCTGAGCAGCCAGTGCTCAGCAGCTTGTCTTTTTCCACAGGAAGGTTTTGTGCCTGTATGAAGCAGAAATTTCTGCCCAGTTCCTCTTGGAGCTGGCTCAGGCACTCCCTGAGCCTCTGTGCCAGGCTGTCTCCTTCTCCTGTACCCTCAAACCACGTCTTTCCCTGCTTTATGTAACACGCCACACAAACTGATGTATTTTTTCCCCAAGCTGCTGTCTGGAAGCTCCCTCTGGGTCCTGCCAGGCTGGTGCAGGGACAGTGGCACCCTGGGGCTCTGCAGGAGCTCTCCCGGTGTGGGCACCAGGACAGACCCCGGGCCCGGCTGCCTCCGTTCCCTCCCCGCCGCTCCCTCGGGAGCCGGGCTGGGCTCCAGGCGCAGCTCCTGAAGGCAGAGCTCCCGGGGGAATCGGAGCTGTGGCTCACTGGGTGATGTGGCTGGAGGCCACCCGTGTGCCACAGACGGGGATAAGGCCAGAGCAGTGTCCCCAGCACTGTCCCCGCGTGCTGCAGCCTCCCCCTGTCCCACAGCGGCCGTGCCGCACGAATGGCATGAAAGGTACAGGGAGGAAAATCATCATTTGTTCCTTGCAGCCAGCCCAAAGCGATCTCCCACAGCCCCCCCGAAACGCCCCCATCCCGCTGCCCCTGGGGACGGGAGTGGAGAGGATCCTGCCTCGGGCACGGCAGGACACGGGCAGCAGCAGGGACACGGGGACAGCCTGAGGGACACAGCTGGGGGAGCTCAGCAGAGCCCTCGCAGCTGCCATGGCTGTGGGCAGCGACTCCCAGCTCCCGGGGTTGGGGGTGCCCACGGGGAGGGTCACAGCAGTGCCCACGGGGAGGGTCACGGAGGGTCCTGCGTCCACTTGTGCTGCATCTTCCCAAGAACTTCCCCCGTCACCGCAGCCTCTGGGAAAGGTGTCCCTGGCTGCTCACCTGGCACCTCGCACTCCTCCAGCTGCCCGCAGCCATGCCAGTCCCGTCCTTCCCCCAGCCCCTGCCACCCCCAGAAAGCCTCTTCCTCTCCAGAGCGGAGCGTTCGCTCCTGTGGCTGCTGCACTCCTTTCCAGAACGCCTCGAGCAACCATTGGCATACCGGGGAAGGGAGATGCTCCGAGCCAAACTGCAGGGCCGGGAACCAGGCGGGGCTCTCACACCAAAAGCCACGGACAGGAGCAGAGTGACAGGTGCTGGGCACCCTGGGGAGGGGACAGTTGGCACCAGGAACCTGCTGGGGGCAAGAGGAAAGGGGAGACAAAGAGGAAAGGGGAGACAAAGAGGACAGGGGAGACATCAGAGCTGTTTCAGGGCACTTCGCTGAGCCCACGGGGACAGCTGAGGGTGATGTGCCACCGTCCGTCACCCACAGGCAGAAATGAGACAGGGCACAGCCACGGCCGAGGGGGCAAGGAAGGGTGGGCAGCGACACGGGCACAGGGGCACAGTGGGCACTGAGGGGGTGCTGAAGAGGAGGGTGCAGCCTCAAGCTCCCCCTTCCCGGGTTCCCCAGATCCCCCCAGGTGCAGAAGGGATTCAGAGCAGCGTCTCCCCAGGCTCACCAAGGGAGCAGAGCCCCCCGCACGCCCCTCCCCAGCCCCCGGAGCAGCTCGGCCCTCGCTGGCAGCGTCCCCCCGCCCCAAAAGGCAGCTGCTCCAAGGACGGGCTGCTGGGTTCCGTGTCACTGGAGCAGCCCACACCCTCGCCAGGGGATGCTATTTATACCCAGCCAAGGGTGGCAGCTCCTGCCTGGCTCTCAGCCCCCAGCCCTGAGCAGGGCCTTGGCCCTGGGGTGCTGCCACAACACCCTCGGCCCTCCCGTGCCCGGGTGGGATCCCAGCGCCCACCCGCTGCTGGGAGAGGGAACGATCCGTGCCCAAGCAGAGGCTGCGCTGCCCTGCAGTCTGAGCTGCAATAACAAAACCACCCAAACAGGCGGGATCGGTTTTTCCTGGGGTGCCTGGCAAACGCTGCTGCGGTGGAAGTGGGGCTGTTCCCCACCCCGAGGCTGTGGCACGGCCGGGACAGGGCGGGGGAGGCTGAGGGAGCCGCAGGAACTCCCGCACTCAGCGGGTAACAAACCCCCCTCATCGCCTCCGGGCTTCCCGGGGCTGCGAGCGACCCTCGAGCTGCTCTTAGGCCCCCCAAAGCCGCGGGTATTGAGGGGTGCAGTGAGCTCAGGCAGCGAGAAGAGGCGGAGCAGTCCCGGGCAGCGCCATCCCTGTCCCTGTCCCTGTCCCCGTCCCTGTCCCCGCCGCAGCTCCAGGCACGACCCGCAGCGGTGCCAGCTCCAGCGGGAGGGAAGGAGGGAGGGAGGACCCTGGGAGCGGTGAGGAGCAGCCCGGCCCATCAATCTCACACCGTCCTGACACCTCAGGCTGCACCAGGAGCTGCTGCTGGGGTTTGGTGGCAGCAGCTCTGCGGTGACAGCCAGCCCCGAGCGCTGGGATCAGGGAGCGCCTTCCCGCCCCGGAGCACTAAATCCAGCAGCTTTTAGAGCAGATGGAGATCTTGGGCTGCGTGAGGACAGGCCGCAGGACTCGGGAGATGGCTCACAAATACCGACGGGGGCGAGGGCCGGTCCTTGAGGGCAGGACGCAGCTGGGATTTACAGCTCTGATCCGGCTCCTCTGCAGACACATGGGAGGGAACGCCGGGCCGGGCTCTGCATCCTGCTGCCTGCTGTGCTCCCTCCGCTCGGGACAGCTCCTCCGGGACTCCGGGGGGTGACAGGAGGTGATGGGGAGAAGAAAACCGAAATACGCTGTGTTTTACATCCCCGAAAAAAGAAGCCAGCGTGTCCTGAAAAGGCCTTTCCCACATCCCTGCCTGCACGGGAGCGCCTGGGGCCGCCTGCGAGCGGAGCTGCCTGCGGCACTGGGACCAGCAGCGTCCCAGAGCATCATCACCACGCAGCGCCCCAGGCGTGCGAGGCACTTAATAAATGCCGTCGTTGGATTAATTAGCAGTGAATGTGTCACGGCGCGCCGGGCTGCGGGAGCACATGGCTCCAGGAGACCCGGATTAAATATGCATGAGGCAGGGAACGGAGGGAGAGCCCCCGAGCAGCGCGGGGGGCTCAGCTCCCCGCCCGGGGAAACCACAGCAACGTCGGGCACGTGGCTGCAGAAATCTGCTCTGCCTCGGCTCCCCAGCGGAGCTGGTGGCGGGCTGGACACCCCCTCCTCCCCAGCACCGGGAGCAGCAGCTCCCGAGGGGTGCCGGCCCTGGGGCACGGCAGCAGCTCCAGTGAGAACTCCCCGAGCCGGGGCCGAGGGGCTCAGCCGGCTCCGGGCGGCACGGGGAGGGTCCCGCTGCCAGAGACCACCCGAGGCTCCCCAGGGACACCGGGTGACTCCCAGAAGCCACCCTCAGGCTGGCACGGGAGGAGGAGGAGGAGAGCAGGGAGATGGGCGGCCAAACACTGCCGGCAGGGCTGGGGACATCCCGGCTCGGGGAGGATGAGGATGGGATGGATCCCCGCGTGAGAGGGCGGGGGGAGCAGGGCCGAGCCCTGCCAGGGCCGAGCACAAGGACCGGCCGGGTCACCGCGGGCAGCTGGACACCTCCCCGGGCATGCAGTCAAGGCCGACAGACCGTTCCGGTCACAGGCGTGAGTCACTGGCTGCGACAGCGGCCCTCAAATGCCACTCGGGAGCCTTTGCTGGCACAGCATCGGCTCCTACACCCCGAGGCACTGCCCGGGCATCCTGGCCAGCCCAGCCGGGCAGGGGCTTCCTCGAGCTCTCCCTCCCTCCGGAGAACCCAACCAGAGCCGGCCGGGGCCGCACGGAGCCAGCAATTCAAGAGCAAACACTGCTTTTCGCAGCCCGCCGCCTCTCCAAGGTGCCGCTCCCCCAGCCAGGCTGACTCCGGGCAGCTCCCAGCGCAGGAGACCCCATCCCTCCCCCACGGGGGGCTGGCAGCTGCAGGAACACGGGCCTGGCCCCCGGTTTTGCCTTCTCAGAATCTTTTCACAGCTTTTCCAGGGCTCCTCCTCCTGCGACTTTCCCAGCTGCTGTCAAACGTCACCTTGGCAGCTGCTGCCTCCATCCTTCCTATTCATCCCGGCGGATTATGGAGGGGCTGGGATCGGGCTGCACCCCGGAGCTCTGAGGGGATCCTCCTCTGTCTGGGGGTCCCATGAGGGGTCCTGACCTCCTCCCGGGGGCACAGGGGGGAATAACACCCCATCTCCCACCGGAGGGTCCCCAGTAAGCCCCGCTCCGCCCTGGGACAGCCCGTGGGTGTGCACGGAGCAGAGGCAGACTCTGTCTTCCAAAGCTGATTAAAAATAGATGCAGCATCAAACTAATTATGGTGATTAATTAGCATTTGTGGAGCAGAGTGAGCACGGGAGGGGGCACACGGGGAGGAGTGGGTGGTGCAGCGGGGTCAGAGCCCACCCTGTGCTGCCCGGCACCCCCAGTGCCCCCGGCGCTCCCCAGGACTGGGGGTACCGGAGCAACACATTAGGGGGGTCCCCAAGCCCCCACTTGCCTCCGTGTCAGCAACAGATGCCAAACCCCACAGCGCTGCTGGAAATCAGGTCAGCGATCGCCTGCGGCACGCTGGAGCCTCGCTCATCATGCCGAGGCTGCGGGGCGAGGTGGCACAGGGCAGCCCCGCTCCAGCGGCCGCCCCCGGGCCCGTGGCAGCCAGGGCAAGAGGGATGGAGAGGTCTGGAGCAGCCCACAGATCCCCTCCTGCCCGGGAGGGGTGAGCAGGGCTCCCGTGTGCTGCAGGGTCAGCGCTTGTGGAAGCCGGGAATGACAGCATCCCGAGGACCCCACACCTGGAATCTGCCCCCCAACACCCGGTGGGGCGGGACAGCCCCACAGGGACACGGCGGCGCTGATTTGTTCCCTCTGGAAAGCAGAGCAGGACCCCAGGTGCCCCCAGTGACGGTGCCCATCCCCCGCTCACACCTCTCCAGCCCCCCCAAAGCCTCCCGTGCCCGGGGACCGGACGGTTTCAGGCACCGAGGTTGGATTTGGGATGGGCTGTGCTCCACAGCTGGCGACGCTTTCGGCTCCCTTCTGCTCCCTCCCGAGGCCCCCGTGAGTTGAGCCATTGATATTCATGAGCTGTGTGCAAGAGCTGGCATAGGAGCCCCGGGCCGGTGGGTCACGGCGATCCCGGCCTGCCCGGGACCCCCCAGCCCCGTTCCTCTGCAGTCCCGGCACCCAGGGCCCTTCCCCAGGGCTGGGGCACGCTCCCGCCGCCCTTTCCAACCGCGCCCCGGGAGCTGCTCCTGCTGCCTCCCCCCGCTCCTCCCGGCGCAGCTTGGCAGAGCCCGGGCAGCAGGATGGGGAAAGGAACCTATTGCAGCAAAGTGGAATTTATCCACCTGCAGTCGGAGGCGTGGGGAGGCTCGGGGCGGCCGCGGGGACCACCCTGAGACCTGCCTGACCGGGGGGCTTCGTCCTCAGCCTGTGGAGGGGGACTCGGCTCAGAGGTGACGACAGGAGGTGCCGGGATGTTGTCCCCAAGGGACTGGGATGTCCCCAAGGGACTGGGATGTCCCCGGCCCCGATGGCGCCCTACGGGTGGGGCAGAGCCCGGCTGCTGTCCTGCCCTGCCTCGGCTGTTCAGGCACGAGCAAGAACCACATCAAACTAATTGGATCCCAGTTTACCGCAAACAAAGAGAAGGCAGGTGACATTTACCTAGCGGGGTAATTGATATCCGAGCAATTTGTTGGAGTAACCTCATTACACGCCAGCTGGATTTCCACACCCTCCCAATCCCACTCATTACAAACAAGGTTTGTGTGTTAATCAGAGCGCTTTAATCACGGTGCTGCCCACCATCCCTCCGGCAAGTTACAAAGCCACCAGATTTATCACAGACTCCAAACACTCTCCCAAAAATCGCTGGGGATTTTAGAGCAGGCAGCGCTGCTCCTCGGGAAAACAGCGGATATTTGTCCCTGAAGTGATGCACAGGGGCAGAGCGGCTCTGGCACCACCTCTCCTCCCTTCCCGCAGGCTGTCCCTCCACCGCCGGCCCGGCTGATCGCCTCCTCCTCCTCCTCCTCAGCGCAGGCAGGAGCTGTTCCCTTGCCAGACACGCGGCTCCAGTCACAACACGAGCCGGGAGCCGCCGGCGGAGCCTCCCACGCGGGAGCCCAGCCCCACGAACCGACCCCACGAACCCAGCCCCATGAATCCAGCCCTGATTCCACAGCCCAGCCCCACGAACCCAGCCCTGGTTCCATAACCCAGCCCCACGAACCCAGCCCCGGCCGGCGCTGAGGCTCCGGTGAGCGCTGACCAGCTGGGCTCTGCAGGCACAGGCACGGCGTGCCCAGCAGGCACTCCAAGAAAAGCAGGAAAAAGCATGTTCCTAAGGAAACATCCTGCACCGAGCCCCCGAGGTGGGAACCAGCCCAGGAATTAGCCCTGGTTCCACAGCCCAGCCCCACGAACCCAGCCCCATGAATCCAGCCCTGGTTCCATAACCCAGCCCCACGAACCCAGCCCCACGAACCGAGCCCCGGCCGGCGCTGGGGCTCCGGCGAGCGCTGACCAGCTGGGCTCTGCAGGCACAGGCACGGCGTGCCAAGCAGGCACTCCAAGAAAAGCAGGAAAAAGCATGTTCCTAAGGAAACATCCTGCACCGAGCCCCCGAGGTGGGAACCAGCCCAGGAATTAATCACGGGTTGCTTTCATAGCCTTGGTTCTTGTTTTTAAAGCTGATGGGGCTGCCGGGGTGGGGACAAGGCAGTCCCAGCGTGTCCCCATGGACAGATCCGGCTCATGGGGACACCCAGAGCATCCAAGAGCAGCCACCCCCTGCACCTCTGCTCTGCCCCCTCCTCCTCCTTCAGCCCCGGGGTCTCAGGGCCGGCTCTGCTCGGTATCAATGACTCCTTGGCTACCAAAATTCCACCCAGCAGCCCAAGAGGGGAAGGGAGCACCTTCCAGCCCCCCAACAGGAGAGACCTGTTGCCCCACGGCTTTGCTGCCTTGCTTTGGGCTGAGCCCTGCACAAGCTGCTCCATCACCCTAATGACACAGCTCATAATCATCTCATTTGCTATTAATTTGCTTGTCAAGAGAAATTCCACTCATTTTCTTTTAATTAATGGGGCCTTAAAATAAAGCTGGGGGGGCTGGCAGGGCTCTGGTGAGAGGATCAGGGAGGATCAACCAACACCAACAACGGGAAGAGCAGTTAGGGGGGAGAACTATTTATAGGACAAAAGGAAGGGAAAAGTAAAAAAAAAAAAGAAGGACAAAAGGACAAAAAAAAAGGGAATCAAAAGCCTTGCAAGGGAGCCATGACGTTCCCCAGCTCCCTCTGCACACCCGGGCTCTGTCCAGGAGCCACCACATCCAAGAGGCCTCAGCTGCCACGGGAGGGGGGAGCAGCACTAAAAAGGCCCATTTAGAGCCCAAAGCTGGGGAATGCTCTGAGATCCAGGGGACACAGCTGCCCCACAAACACCAAAGGCTCTGGGAATGGGGAGAGGCTCAGCTGCTGGGCCCAGCTCCACACCCAGTGTGAGCACCCAGACCTGCAGCTGGGCCTGGTTTGGGGAGCCAGGAGGGAAACAGCCCCTCCTAAACCCGCCCAACCAAGGCAAAAGGAAGAGGAATGAGAACGGGGGGCAGGGAGGGGGGAAATCCCAGTGAAACCCTTCCCCCACCCTCGGCAGGAGTGTCCCAAAATACAAACCCTGAGTCACAGGAGCTCAAACTGCACAGGCAGCACCTACACTGCCACAAGCTCCAGACACGGAGGTGGGAGCCCATCCCACCCAGCCTCAGCCCCTGGCACGGAGCTGCTCACCCAGACCTGCACACAGAACAAACAGAACTGCATCCCAAAGCAGCTCCTCTCCCCTTCCCGAGACAAAGAAGGCAGGTGCAGGGATCCTCCTTCCTGCTCCCCAAGCATCCAAACACAACAGGGGGAGCAGATCCAGAGAAGCTGCAGCAGAGCTATTCAGCACCTGGGAGTCAGGAAACCAACCCCAAAGCAATTCTGCCCCAGTTTGTCACCCAGGAGGCATCACTGGGCAGCCACATTCCTGCCCCAGCCCCACAGCTCATTCCCCAGCAGCACGGGGGGTGACCAAGCCCTGAGGCACCTCCAGAGACTCCCAGCCAGTCCCAGGTGGAAATGGTGGAGAGAAAAACCCCTTGGTGATAACAGGAGGATTTACAACCAGTCAGCAATAGCTATTCTCAGATTCCCAACACCCAGAAAAGCCGATTTCCAGCAAACAGAGAGTTAAAAAAGACAAGCCATGTATGAGTTTATTTCGAAGGACACTCAAGCTCCACTCTCTGAGTTTCTCTTAAGAGGTTTCAAGCATTACAAAGCGATTTTCCCTTCCCAGGGTTATAAACCAATTAGATAAAGACCAAGTTAATCCCTTATTGTGTCCAAAGAGCCACAAGCAGACACCAAACACAGAGATTAGTCCCTTCCTTTAGGAAGGACTAAACTGCCACATTTGGGCAGCTGGGAGAGCATCCCACGGCCCAGGCAAAGCCCAAAGGCACAGCCAGAGCCCCTGGCCCTGCAGGGCTGCCAGGACACTGCAGCACCATCCCCTCCCAAAGCCTCCCAGGTGACTCCATCCAGAGTCAGCTGAGTTTACCTGGGCTTGGAAGGAGAGGAGTTCAGAGCCTCACGCAGAGGGAAGCCAGGACAGTGATGCAGAGCTGGTTTTTATGGTGTTTTTTTTTTTTTTTTTCACCTGATTTTCCCTCACTCCCAGGGCAGAGGCAGCTGGGGGGGGCTCAGGGCAGCTGAGGACAGCAGTGTCCCCTGCAGTGTCCCCAGCCCTGGATCCCTCACAGGCTGAGCACACGGACCCTCCGTGGATCAAAACACCCAGATCCCAGCAGGAGCAGCCAGGGACAGACCCTGAACAACCAGAGCCTCATGTTCCTGTCTGAGCTGGGCTCAGTTCCTTGAGCTTCCACTCAAATCACAGCTGTGGCTGCAGAGCCTCCCCTGACCAACCCACCCCAAATCTCCCATTGTCAAATACCAACCAGAAGCACACAGAAAGTGACCGATAGATGAGGGATTAAAACCACAGAGGTTAAACATGAGATGAAAGGCAGGCACTCACCAGGGCAGGAGAAGCCAGTCCCACACACTGAAGGTTCCCCTGTTCTGCAGGGCCATCCTGGAGGAGCTGCTCCCCACAGCTGAGCACACTGGGGTGAATCTGCAGGGAGTGTGCTGTTACCCAGAATTTGGAAGGAGCCAGGGATGACCCTGTGAGCTCCCAGCACAGGCCAAATCAGAAACAAAGATGGATTTCCCTGGTGTTCTGCTCACGAGCTCTAGCAAGGAGCTGTCCCCTGCCCACCCTGTCACTCGTGCCTGAATTAGTGACAGGTTTCAGAAGACTGTCCCCATGGCCAGAGAACTCACTGGTTTGTGTGGGGCTGGAATGAGGAATGAAGTGGTCCCTGCTGGCTGTGGCTCTGTGCCCACCCTGCTCCCTCAGGATGGGACAGGCCGTGGCAGAGACTGTGTCTGTGCCGGGAGGGGACACATCTGTCCCTGTGTCCCCTGTCCCCTGCCACAGCCAGCCATGAGCCCAGTGCTCCCTTTGCCCTGGCCTGGCAGCAGCCCTCAGGATCAAAGGAGCAGCTTCCACTGTGGTTTTCCCTTGCAGGCTCTGTCCACCCGTGGGCAAACCCTGGTGTGAAGCAGCTCTGAGGGTTCCCGGGAGAGGTGGCTCCTGTGTAGGGCTGGGAGCTGCAGCTGCTGCAGCTTTGGCTTCTAAAACCTGTCAGCAAAGGCTTTTCAGGGAAGTGCTCTGCCAGTGCCTGTCCCCAGCACTGCCAGGACCAGCCCCAGACCTGCCCAGATGGCCCCAAGGGAGCAGGGTTTGTCACTTCCTCCCTTCCCCCCCTGGTTCAGACCCCAGCACAGCAGCGGCACAACAGGCTGGGCTTTGTCCTCCCCACCCAGAGGAGCTCCAAGACAGAAAAGAACAAAAGTTGTACAACAAATGTATGCAAAATTTAAGTTAAAAAGCCCACAGCAGTCTGACCTGAGCACCCCTCCCCACCCCCAGGAAAACATCCTTCTTCCTCTTCAGGCTGGAATCTTACACAGCCACACCAGGATCTCCCAGAGGACCTTCTGCTCCTGCTGCTCTTCAGAACAGTCAGGAATCACCTGCCAACCTCAGCCAGGATCCCACACCTTGGAGAAGTTTTGGTCTTAGAGGCTGGATGAGGGTTGAGGATGATTTGGGCACAGAGGCTCTGGGCTCTGCTCCTCAGGCCGAGCTGGGGCTGGGCCAGATCTCCAGCCTGGGATCCTGGAGCACTCTGTGTGTCAGGAATGACCTCCCCATGCTCCTGGGAGAGAGATGATTCCTGCCATCCTTTCCCCTGAGATGTTCCTTCCTCCAGAAGAGCTGGGCAGTGGGGCTGCTGCTCCCCAGGGACGTGCATGGGGCATGGCACAACCCAGGCTGCAGGAACAAGGGGAAGCTGCTCCAAAAGCAGTGGGAAGGGAGGGCTCTGTGCCACAGAGGTGTGGTGGGAGACACAGGCTGGCTCTGCAGTGGCAATGTCTCAGCATCTCTGTAAATCAGCCCCTGCAGCTGCACAAGGACTCCAGTGAGGTGTTGCAAACTTACACGTGAGCCTTTGCTTACACAAAGATTTTAACAGTACTTGAAAATGAACCCTGAGAAATTCACTGCATGGATTCTCCCTGAGCAGTGGCTGGCGCTGTCCTGTGGGACACAGCCTGGCACAGCTGTCCCCCAGGGTGGCACTGGGCTCCTGCATCCAGCAGGACTCAGCCTTGGTGCAGGAGAGAACCCAGCAAAGAGAAGCTCTGCACTTTCTTCTGGTACAGACTAATCCTCCAATTCATCCTCCTTTTTGCTGCAGGGATAAAAATGAGAAAGTAGGAACAAGTCTGACAACAAGTAGAAGCCAACAGGCACAAACAACTGGCACTTGCTGAGCTTGAGCTGCACCCCAGGGGCAGATTTAGCCCTGAACTGACACCCGCTGGCCCACCTTATGTAAGAGAGGGGGACTCTGACCCTCCCCAACACCTGGCGGCCAAAACCAGCTCCCTTCAGGTATTTCTGTTCCTCCTCAGGTCACACCTGTGGGCGTTAGGGCTTTGCTTACGAGCAGTGCTGAAAAAAGAGCAAATCCCCACTGCCCTTCCCCAGCTCAGGACACGGCGCTGCCGGCAGCAACGTGTGAGGCAGCGTGGCCACAGGGAGCAGAAATCACCTTCTGGAGGCTGCACATGTCCTGAGCTCCCCACCGAGCTCACCTTGTTACCCTGCCTGTACCTTTAATGCCATTACTGCAGCTCATGCCACCAGCAGATGCCCTTTGCCCACACACCCACCTCTCTGGGCTGGCAGGCACAGCCTCCAGCACCTCCACTGGAGCGCAGGGCTGCTTCCGAAGGTACTCCCTGGACCTGATGTCAGCCTGGAAGCAAGCAGGGAGAGGAGTGAGCATGGGCTGAGCAGCCTGGCTGGTGCCTCCCCTGTTATCCCAGTGTGCCCACCCACCCTGCTGCCAGCACATCCCACCAGGAACACCGGATGGCTCAGCAAGGCACGACAGCCTGGGGCAAGGAGAGCACCAGCCACGTCCCAGGAACTGTTAGGAAGTGTTGCTGGGCACTTACTGGGTGTTCCTGCCCTCAGCCTGACGTGTTTGCACAGCCCTCTAGTGCTGCACGACACCAGCAGCAGACCCTTGATGCCATCACAAGCACACCCCGGGCTCTTGGACAACTTTGAGGACTGGCAGTTGATTTTTACAGTCCTTCAAAGTTTTTTCTCTTTTAGAAATTTCTGCGCCATTTCTGAGCAGCTGCTGTGCCCACCTCAAAGGCAGAGTGTCTCTCCCCACCTACAAAGCAGGATGTGACCTTCCCAGCTGGAAAAGCTTCACAGTGTCTGGTGATGAGCTCAGAAATTGGGTTAACACATCCCTGGGGACTGTCCTTGAAGCACTGCTGCTCCCCAGGAGCCTCTCCTGCAGCCCTGCCAGCCCCCAGGCCCCTCACCCTGAGCCCTTGGTGGAGGCTGTGCCTGCTGCTGGAACCTGCTCCACAACTGCAGAGCCTCCTGCCAGCTGAGAAGGAGAGAGTTACATAAGGGGTGGTTTGTTTGGGAGATTTTTTTCCCTTCTCTCTATAATTGGACAGTTTCATAACCGAACTGACAAATAACTTTGATCACTCTTCAGGATAAGCGATTACGTGATGGATTTTATAACCAGGGGAGGAGGCTGCTCAATAGTCCCCACGGGCAGAGCAAGGAGCAGGAGGCAACAGATACCAACAATTCTAGGGAAGAAAAACCCCAACCACATTCTGCTGAGAATATCAGCTAGTGCTTGATGAGGTGGCAGTTCCCAGGCAGGGCTCACTCCTAACACAGCACTGGAGTCAGCTTAAGGTGGTGATTAACCCAGGCTAATCAATAAGATGGATCACTGTCCACCAATAATCCTCAGAGATTTGGGCTATTTTCAGAGGGCATGAGTGCTGGCTGTGGAAATGTTGCTTTGCCTGTTACCTGAGGGGCCAGGGTGCTCCCTGGGCACAGCAGGCTTGGAGGGGGTGCCCCCAGAGGCAGCTGGAGTCTCAGGACACCAGTGACTGCTGTCCAGTCCCAGAGGAGAGGCTGATGCCTTCTCTCATTCTTCTGAGGGCAAGTGTTCAGCGTTTCACAGAGGGTGCCCTGCAGGCCTGCCCTTCCTGGTGGGCTGGAGCACCCTCAGGCTGTCCCAGCAGCTCCTCCTGATCCAGCCCCAGGGGCACCCAGGCACTGAAGGGGCAGCTGAAGGAAGCAGCAAGTGAGGAGGAGGCTGGGCAGCAGCCAAGCAGGAACGTGACCCAGAGAGAGCAGAGCAGGCTCCTGGTGCAATCCCTGGCAGCTGGAGAGTGGCACCAACTTGTGCCTCCCTGCTGGGCACAGGAATCTGGGAATGAGCAGGCTGCAGTGTGGGCAAGCACCAGGGAGGGCTCTGACCTCTGCCAGGAGCAAGAGCAGCTCTCTCAGTAGGACCTGGGAGTGTTCCAGGCTCACTCAGGGTGAGTGCTGTGCTGCTTGTTCTGGGATGGCAGTTCCTGCCTGGGAGCTCCGTGCAGGATCTCAAAGGGAGATCCTGGCTGGGCCTGGCCTGGCACGTGGAACAAGGACAGAGTGGGATGTAAATACTGATTGCAGGTGACAAGGGCAGCTCATCCCCCTGCTTCCTCCGAGATCTCACTTCTCTCATCTGCACCACAGCCAGCTCCTTGGCAGCACAACCACACTGTGGGCTGAATGCAAATGGAACCCCTCCTGCTCCCTGCCTGGATAATATGCATTCCTGGGAAGCACCACATCCCCTAAAGCAGGAGGCCTGAGCTCCCACAGCAGCTGCACTGCACATGCTGCCCTCACACAATCCTCAGGAGCTGTGGACAGCTGAGCTCTCACAGACCACTTCATTTCCAGGCCTGCCACAACTTCCAGGTCAGGACCTGGTGATCCACAGGTCTTTCCTGACACTGGGAAATCTGTAAGCACTTCTCCTATCAGGTCTGCAGTTTCTGGAGACGTACCATGGCAAAAAGGCCACGTCAGTCATCCATGGCAGGATTCTCCACAGCCTCCTACTTCCTAACTCCAGCTGCAGGTGCTCAGGAGCTGAGGCTTTCAGCTCTGCCTGTGCCAGGAGCTGTGGCAGCCACCACACAGAGGAAGCACAGTGGGGACAAGTCCCATGGAAAGGTTTAAGTGTCCTCGTCTCCTGCCATCTCTCTAGAGTAAACACACTCTCCTGTTGGATTTTTCATCTCTCTGTAAGAAAAGTGATAATAATTCATTCCATCACTCCAAGAAAAAGGTCACAGGGAACCGGAAGAGGCTCCGAACATGAACAAATCCTGGAGATAGCTGAAAGCGAAATGAGGGTGATGAAAAGCTCCAAGACACCTTTCTGTTTCCAAAGGGAATGCTTCTCCCTTCCCTGTGAACACAGACTGCAGAGCTGGCTCGGAGCTCTGCAGAGGCATCTGGCCCTGGCTGGAGCAGGTTACATAAGGAGCTCCAGCAGCCTCCTCCAGTCTGGCAGGTACTGGGGCTGAGACTGGGAACTGCAGCTCTGCTCTGGACACACCAGGGCTTGCTTTGCTCCAAGGAGTTAAGATTTTGGGGTAGTTTATAAGCACAGTTTCAGTTCCAGGGAACACTGCAGCTCTGGAGCAGCAGGGTCACCCAGCACTGCCCCGGGGCTGCTCAGGTAGGCACACCCCAGACCCCACCAGCCAGGCACAGCAGCAATGCCAACAGGCTGTCCCAGGGCAGTGTTAGGGACAGGGACACCCGGGCAGGCCCTGGGGTCACTCCTGGCTCTGGGCTGTGGAGCCACCAACAGCAGAGTGATCTCAGGAAGAATGGAAGCACTTGCCAGACCAGAAGTCCTAGAGGCTTTGAGCTTCTCCAGAGCCCTTCCCCAAGTTCTGCTGCGATTTAAAATCAGCCAAGGCTGAGCCCCAGTGGCAGCTACAGCTCGGTGACAGTGATGCAGTGCTGTCACCTGCTGGCTGGTGGCTCCGTGCAGAGTGCGGCAGCGGGAAAGGTCCAGAGGAGCAGCACTGAGGGCCGTGCTGGGCTCCAAGCACCCGGGAAAACTGCATTCCCAGCTCCTGGGGATTAACACCAGCACGGCAGGAGCTGCCTGCAGCGAGCAAGCAGCGCATCAGTCAGGCTGGGTCTGCAGGCAGGGCTGGGAACGCTGCCGGGCACTGCGTCAGGGGAACGGGCCTGGAAGGATCAGTGAGCACCACCACGGGCTGGGGGAACTGCCCAGCAGGAGGGTGTCCCCAGCAGAGGAGGGGCAAACTGAAGCTCTGAGCACAGGGCTTGGCAAACCCTGCCCCCCCTGCCCCCATACCTGCCGGATGGGCTCCGGGACGCGGAAGCGGCAGCAGGCCCTGACCAGGCGCACGGCCGTGCCCAGGCTCACCCGGTGGCCCACGGACACGTACAGGGGCTTGGAGCTGTTGCTGTGGCTCCGCAGCACCTGGGCAGCCAGAAAGGAGAGATCACGCACTGGAGAGGCTCATCTGAACACACGCAGAGGGGCAGTGGAACTAGGAGCCAGCCGGAGCCCTCGGTGGGGTGGTGGCTCTGTGTTTGCAGCTCCCAGCCTTCCTGAACACCTTCCCCACCCCAGTGTCTCCTGCAGGGACTGTGTGTCCCCCGTGGCCCTTCCCCAGACGCCCGAGGCTGCTCTGGGATGCAGGAGCTGTGCCAGCCCAGGCTGACAGCACCCACAGGAAGTGTCTCCCAGCTGCCTGTTCCCACCGTGCTCTGAATCAGCCCGATCCCGGGGAGCTGCCAGGGAACTGGCACCTCTCCCAGACTGCAGCTCACCATCCAGGCTGCTGGAGCACCTCAGGAGCCACAGCCACGGACAGGAATGCTCCCAGCACTTGAGCTGCCAACTCCCTACAGCCACCTGAGCTCTCAGGGAGGGGTCAGCAGTGTCACCGGTCACCAGTTCACACCTGCCCTCCCGCAGGGCATCACTGAGACAGCCCCACTGTGGAGAGGGACAAGTGGCCAAGTGGCAGCTTACCATGCCCAGGACCTTCCCCGAGGCGCCTCTCAGTGGGAATGCCTCTCCTGACCTCTGCAGGGAATGAACCTAGGGATAAACACACACACAGTCAGCTCATTAGCATGTAATTGTAGGTGGCTGTCCAAATTCCCTTGGGATGTGAAAAAGCAGAAACAAATCCCAGCCTGGCCTAACCTGCTCCTTGTGCAGCTCGTCCCTAACCAAGCCATCCACGTGCAGGAGGTTCTTGGCCACGCCAATGCACGGCAGGTCTGTCAGGACCCCGAGGTGACAGGCTGTGCCAAATCCTGCCAACAAGGAGCCACTGTAGCTGCAGGACATCAGGGAACAGGAACACCAAGGAGCAGCACAGGGAGCAGGAGAGGAGGGCTCTCCAGGAACAGCCTACCTCTGGGATGGAGCAGGCCATTCCCATCTACCAGAAGCACCTGAGAAAAGCAAAGGAGAAATGTTATTTCTTGGGCACTGAGAGCACTCCAACGAGCAAGGAGAGATGCTGGCTCTGGGGGAAGGAGAAATCTCTTTTGGTTCCTCAATTCTCCCTGTAAGGCTCTTCCTGACTGCCTGACCCTAAAGCAGCAGCAGTGTGGGACTGGCAGTGCCCTGCACACACCACAGGCTCCCATGGGAGACCTGGCTACTCCCAGCTCCACATCCCTGCTCCCCAAGGAAAGGGCATGGATGCTCCAGCACAGCTCTGCCCGTGCCTCTCCTGCCCCGGGAGAACACCTTCCCCAGGACTCTGCAGCCAGGACAGCCAGCTCGGGACAAGGGAAGCACAGCACACCTGAGGCTGGAGCTGGGGCTCCTCCTGCTGAAGCCTCTGCACAGCTTCCACCAGGACAGGGACCTCCCTGAAGGCCAAGAAGCCGGCCACGTACGGGGCGGTGACGGGCACCATGCGGCAGTCCTGGTACAGCACCTGGGGCAGGCACAGACAGCACCCTGCCAGAGAGCCCCTGCACGCCCCAGAGCTCCTCCTCTGCTTCGTGCCCTCTGCTCATCCCTTTTAAACCCACGGACAGGTCAAAGCAAACGGTGTAAGGCAGCACAAAACCGCTTCCCGCCTTGCCCTGCAGATCACAGCAGGACTTGAGATTCAGTTCATTAAAATCCCAGCAGACAGCATCAAACTTTATTTCTCTCCTTGTTAGAGCTTTTACAGTGAAAGATAATTTTTATGTTACTTTGAAAGCTGGGAAAGAGACCAAAAATCTTTATTAGTTCAAGTAAAACGACTGTGAGAAGTGAGACCCACGGCGGGTTTGGAAAAGCTTTCCTATGTCACAGCCCATATAATCAGCTGGTTCCCAGCAAGAGCTCACCCACAGGACTCTGCACTGGAGCACTGCAAACAGCTCCCTCTGCCCACGGGCACCAGCCCCCGAACAGGCACGGCAGCTGCTCTGGACCTGGGCGAGTTCCCAGCCAAACCACAAAACTGCAGCTGGGAGCTGTTTAGCTGTTTGCATCACACCTTCCTAAACTTCTGTCTAAATCCTTACAGGTATTTTTTACACACACACACACACACACACAGGACCATGGAATGGTTTGGTCGGGAGTGATCTTGCAGTCCCTCCCATTCCACCCCTGTCATGGCAGCGACATGGAATGGTGTCCCAGGCTGATCTAAACCCTGTCCAGCCTGGCCTGGGACACTTCCCGGGACCCAGGGCCTGCCCACCCTCTCGGTGAAGATTCCTCCCCAGTATCCCACCTGCCGCTGCCCCACGGTCCCGGGCCGGGCGGTACCTCGAGAGCCGGGTAGCTGAGCACGACCAGGGAGGCGCAGGCACGGCTCTCGTCCCCCTTGATGTAGGATAAATCCACACCTCCCACTCTGTGCAGCCCGGAGAACTGCGGGTCCTTCTGCCACTCCTCGGTGTCCTCCTCCACCACGCCGGCCCTCAGCCGGGCCTGCTCCCTGCGGGGGAGCCGCTTACCGAACCCCGGCCCGAACCGCGCCCCCTTCGCTCCCCGGGGAGCCCCCAGACCCCAACCGGAGGGCCGAGCACCGGCGGCTCTTCCCGAGGGTGCCCGGTCCTTGTGGGGACGCGGTGCCGGGTAGCCCCGAGCGCGGCCGGGCCCCGTCCGAGCCCCGTTACCGCTCTCAGCCCCAGCCCCAGCCCCGTTACCGGTCCCAGCGGCGCCGCCGGGCGCTCCCCGCGGCCCGTCCCAGCCCGAGCCCCGTTACCGCTCCCAGCCCCAGCCCCAGCCCCGTTACCGCTCCCAGCGGCGCCGCCGGGCGGGGGACGCGGCCATAGCGGCGCGGGGCCCGCCCGTCCCGCAGCGCCGCCGCTCCCCGGAAAGCGCGGCCGGGCGCGGCCGTTCCGGGCCGGCAGCACCGATCCCGGCAGCGAGCGCGGAAGGAGCCGGGAGCAGCTGCGGGAGCTGAACGAGTTTATTGAAGGGGAAAGGGAGAAGTCGGCCCGGGCTGAAGGCAGCGGAGGAGCCGCGGCCTCAGGGCTCCCTGTGCGGGTCCCGCCGCAGCGGGGGCGCTGGGCAGGAGCCGGTTCTGCAGCCAGTGCAGAAGGGAAAGCATCAACCCTGGCCGAGCACGAGGGCACCGTGATTTGTAAAAAAATTCCTTCATGTTCCTCCAGTGGCTCTGGAGCTGTGTCGATCCAGGGTTCACACCGAGCTGCTGGGTCTATTTCACTCTCCTTCTCCTCCACGGCCACTCTCCTCTTCACATCAGGTGTAAAAACAACAACCCCAAACCCAAAGAACAAGCAACAAGCCCCAAACAAATGCCCAGAGTTCCAGAAGCCTGACACGAGTGTTGTGGCAGGCCCTGGCAGGGCTCTGTCCTAACTGTCCCTGTGCTCCCTCTTGAAGACAGCAGCTGCTTTCCAGGTACCAGCGGCATGAGACAGAAGAATTTCATCTGGGAATGTGTCTTCCAGCTCCAGAGCTAATTCAGAGTCTTTGGCACAAAGGTAAGGCAAGAGTGATTCCTTCAGGCTGGAAGACAGAGCAGAATGGCATGAACAGCAGGGTACAGCAAAGCTCAGGTTCCACAGTATGAGTGCACTGCATCACCCAAAATACTCAATATCCACAAGAGAACAGGTGTGTGTGTAGTGAGAAGGGTTAAACAGCCATGTGGAGGCACAGAGCCCAGCAAGGGGAGGCTGCAGGGCAGAGCTGAGCTCTAGGGCTGAGCTGTGCAGAGCTGTGTGCCTATCCCTGAAGGCTGGCCTTGAGCACCATGGAGGTTTTTTCCAATCTTAATGAGTGATTCTGTTCTTATTTAATCCAAGTGCCTGCAGAAGTGCTGGTGTTTGTGACCTGAACAGCAGCTCCTGTAGTGTTCCAGCAATGTCCCCAAGAGAGCCTGTGTGAGATGGAAGTGACACGTGCCAGAAATGAGTGTGGATATTCCTGATGCTGCTGCCTGGGCCGTGTCCCCCAGGACATGCATGTGGCAAGGGAATGTTCCCACTGTGTGCATGCTCAGAGGCAGAGAAGGTTCAGTTAACAACTGTGGTGGCTTTGGGTGTGCAACTCCTACCTCCACGTGGGTTTGAATTCAGTCACAGCTTGGACACATCTCAGCTTCAGGATGATCATTTCATGGAGCTCCTGCAGGAAGGTTTCCAGCCTGGAGTGGACCAGGAAGGTGTGCAGGAGCTTGGCAAGCTCTGGGGTGAGCTCTTCTTTGTAGTCTGGACTGACATCTGCAAAAGGATCCTAAAAATGCAGCGAGGGGAAAAGAAACCCAAACACACATGTGAGCAGCTGCAGGCAGGGCAGGGCAGAGGAGCTCACACAGAGGTGCTGGGGGTGCCATACCCTGCCGAGGCGCAGCAGCTGCTCAGATTTGTGGGCACACAGGAGCTGCCACAGGCCCATGCTGTGCCTGAGCTGGCACCGTCTGAGCGCCTGGAAGAGAAGGACAGCTGTGGATGTGAGGAATGTCCTTGGAGCCTCTCCCCAGCCTGCCCTGCCCAGAGAGAGCTCAGCACAGAGCTCATCTTGGCCTGGGTGGAGCCCATCTGCCCTCTCATCCTTCCCCATACGCCCTCAATAATCCAGTTTTTATCCCACAACATGAGTGGGAAAGTGAGAGGGCTCTGTCACACAGCCTGGATTTAGCATAAACCACATTTTATGCCACAAGAATCTGAGCTTTGCCCTCAGGACTCACCTGCAGCACGTGAGGGTTTGTCTGATCCCCCATCTGCAGAACTTGCTCAATATACTCAGTCAGCAGCATGTCAGCATTCTCACCAGCCATGGCCAGGAAGCCCAGGGTGATCTCAGTGAGGGACAGGGCATCACACACATCACTATAGGACTGCAGCTCCCCACTGATCGTGTTCATCACAGAATTGGGCAGAGCACTCTGAAAACCACAAAGTCATAGTTAATACTGTTTTAGAGCCATTCCTTTTTCTGTTCCAATTGCTCGAGTCATGGGAGACAACAGAGCCCCAGATTTAGGAAACTGAAATGCTGAACCATCTCCCTTCTCTTTGTAAATCCTGACTGACAGCACAAGGCCAGATTGCACATACCCGAGGCACGCTGAGAAATCAGCAGGCAAGCCTTTGGATGGACAAGGCAAGGCACAGAAAACCCTTGGAAAAGCAGGGATTTCGTGCTTGCCCTGCTTCCTGCAGTGCAGAAACCCACCTGCTCCAGCTTGTTCCTGACATCACTGAACAGCTGCTCGTAGTTCCGGTCATGTCTGTGCACCAGGGTGGGAATTCCCTGTCAGGAGAGAGAAAGCCATGGATGTGAAGCCTGGAATGCTGCTCCCAGAGCCCTCCTGGCTGCACAGCGCCTGCCCCTCCTACCGTCAGCGTGATGAGTGGCTTCCCCTGCAGGAACTTGCTGATCACTTGCTGCTGGATCCTCTCCAGATCAAAGTCCTGCAAGGTCTCCCCTCCCTTCTCCATGCTGTACTGGCAGTTGGACAGGATCAGAGGGATCAGGTCCCTCTCCACCTCGTAACTGATCAGGTGCAGGTCGGCCACTTCCGAGGGGCTGACCAGGTACCTGCAGGGAGCAAAGGGCCTGTGTTCAGAGGGAGAGGCCTCTGTGGAGCAGGGAAACCTGCCCGAGAGGGAGCAGGGGATGCAGCAGAGCCCAGGGAGCGGAGCAGCTGCACACCTGTCATCCTCCTTGGTGTGCCTGTTGACAGAGTGCACCAGGTCGTTGTGCAGCCCGATGAGGTAACTGGCCAGCGCCGTGGAGCACAGCCCCAGCCCCCGGCGCCGCGGCAGCAGCACCTCCAGCCTGCTGTCCAGGCTCAGCTCGGCATCACAGTAGCCTTTAGGCAGCTTGATTTCCCCTGAAATACAGACAGCAGTGTTTGAGGAGGCCCAGAGCCAGCCCAGGCTGAGCCAGGGCAGGAGGAGGTGCCGAGCCTGGGAAAAGCCGCGCGCTCGGCGTTACGGACGAGCACGAAAGGGGACAAGGTGAGGTGAGAAAGGAAACAGGTTCAGGTCAGAATACTACAACAGGGAAACAAATCCCTCCCCTTGTACCTACATTCTTAAAATTCAATGGCCAAGCCCAGTTTTGAGGATATGCCTCAGCATCAGTGATGGGAGGAACCTGAACTCAGAACGAGGAGCAGGGCTGGGAAAGAAGCTGCTCACCATTGGTGTCCAGGGAGCTTCTCAGCTTGTTCCAGACAGACAGAAACACATTCACTCTCCTGTCCAACAGGGCCCTCATCACATCTGAGAAACAACAAAAAGATAAATCCATGAAACACCTTTTCCTGGGTGAAACTCTCCAATACAGGGATCTTCAGAGCACACCACTGAACTCCAGGCAACTGCTCAAGAGACTAAACAGACACCAAACACCTTTCTAAAGGTATCAAATGGAGTCATTTGCTCAGTTTATTTTTCCATTCTTGTCTGCTCCTGCACCACCTTTATGTACTTTTCCATAAGTACTTAAAAGCATCAGTAATTGTACTTAAATACAATTGAAGAAGTTGCCACAAACTTCATGAATGGAAGGGAAGAACATTAATTTCACTCTTCAGGCAAGCCCTGCTCTAGAGCTGAGCTTAAAATGCCCACAGAACCACTGCTGCACTGCACAGAGTTCCCACCCTCATAAAAAAATCTCCTGTACTTAATTCCCTTTAAAGTCATCTGCTAACTTTTCCAGTCCTATCCAAGTCTTCAGTTAATTTGGGTGAGAGTTAGAAGGAAAAAGTGAGTTTTCACCTTCACTTTCTATGGGACAATCCAGCACTTTCTGTTTCATTAATTACAATTTTGGCAGTCTCCTCACCTGAGTGGGGTTCCCTGAGGAATTCCCTGATGGAGCAGTGTTTAATCTCTGCTGTGTTCTGGAATTGCCTCACCAAATCTTTCTGCAGAGCCAGAATCTCTGGGAGGAATTTCACCAGCCTCAGCTCACTTTCCTGGAAGAGGAAAGGGAGCCTGTGGGTAAGGTTGTACTTGGACAAACCAGTTGGGAATACTTTTATGGAATTACTTCTTAAATGTTTAAAAGACAACAATCTCTTCTGTGTTCATTCTCAACATCATAGCATGAACTGACACAATCCAAATGTGGTTTAGTCCTGGGCAATGCCAGGCTCTCACCCCTGTGCCACCCCCACCTTCTGCAGGAACTTCCAGAGGAGAGGGACAGTGTCCTTGGCATTCTTCTGCTGCACAACGTGGCCCAGGTTCTCCACGGAAACCCTCCTGCGGCAGCTCCACATCTTGGAGTGGTGGACATGGCTGTCCCCTGGCAGCTGGGACAGGAATGCAGCTGGGTCCCCATACACTATCTTCACTATGGGGTTGGAAGAGATTCTGTCATCCTCTTGTATCAGTTGGTTTAACTTGAGTAGCTTTTTATCCAAATCCTGCATTAAAATAATAACAAATGATTGGATATTGTGAAATACCTTCAGCTGAGCTAAGCCATTTCTGCTTTTCCAGATAAACAAATTCATCCCAGAACAACCCCAGTCTCAGGCTCCCATCTCCCCAGGTAGAATAAAGGTGGCTAATCCTTAACCTGCAGCTGTGCCATGGATGGGCTGGCTTTAGGAACAGCCAGGTGAAAAGTGTAGCACAGATATTACAGCACATCAGATTTCCAGTGGTTTTGAACTGCTCAGCTACTGACTCCGCACAGCAGATTTCTCACCTTCAATTCAGGAACAATAATTTTGTCTGCAACAATTTCTTCCCATTTGTTTCTCTTCTCCTTGGTGGAGAGAACATAATCAAACTGCACCAGCCCTGCAACAGGAATATTTCACCTCTTAAATCTGCAATATTTTAGTGAAAAGAAAGCACAGATTCACAGGTGCTAGAAGTTAACCGAGTATCTTGGTCCAGCTGGAGAGTGACACCCAAACACCACACAGTGATCCAGGTTACCAGGAGCCTCATGTGAATGATGGGGACATTTACACCACTCCTTCATAACCCCAGAAATATTGAACAGGTTGTCCAAGGTCAGACCATGATCAAGGACAGAGTGAAGCTTGGAATACTGACTGGTGCTGTCCCACCCTCCAAATATGGGCTATTTACACATTAATGCCCTGTACCACAGTGACTCCAGACCCTACCATGAACCCCACTGTGCCATCCCTCTTCTGCCAAAGAGCTTCTGGGAGTGACTGAGAGGCAGCACAGAACAGGGATTGCACACAGCACGAGCTGAGTGCTGGGAGAGCAGCCCTGCTCAGGAGCTGCAAGCTCTGCCCATCTGTCATGAAGTTGTTTTGTCAATAATTCATTTTCAGAGTTATTGACTGCACCAAACCTTGCAAACCCCACATACTCGACTGAAAGTAGCAAACAGACGAAAATTCTTCCCTCCCTACAGTAAGAAACAAGCTTCAAACTCTCTGTTTTGTTTTTCAGCTCAGCTGCTGCTGTTGGAAGGGGTTTATCAGGAAGGTGGCTGCATGGCCTCAGCCCCCGGTATGACAGGGCAGGTGGCTTTTCTTACACTGGCCTGGCTGCTGCTGGGGGGCCTGCAGGAGGCTGCTGAGCACCAGGTGCAGGATGTTGATAGTGTCATCCACACTCTTCCCCAAAATCCTGGTCAGCTGTGCCAAGTCCTCCTGAACGTGCTGCTGCAGGAAGCTCACCACATCATCCACTGTTGGCTTGATCATCATTCCCAGGGACTAAAGACAACAAAGGCAAGAGCTGAGCACAGCCAAAAACATCCAGGGAAGCACAAAGCACACAGAGCTCTGTCCTGCCAGGCACTCCCACCTGTGGAATTCCTGCTACCTGTGCCCATCAAGGCAGGGCTGGGTGGATGTGCCTGCATGGAAGTGCAGGAATTAACCAAAATCCCTCCTGGGCAAGGAGGCAGGGAATTTGGGTCTGACAGACTGCCCTGGCCACTTGGCAGTATGATAAAAAGGACCAGCAGCATACAAAGGTTCCCCTACAATCTGTGTGACCACTTGGAAGCATTTCTGGAAGATACCTGAGGGTCTCTCGAGGCTCCCAGCAGCATGGACAGGTGGGTGAGCAAACGGAGCAGCACAAAGACCATGGGGGACACACCCCTGTCAGATGTTCCCAGTGTTCTTCTGTTCTTAACATCTCCAAGGATGTGGCCAGTCTGAGTTCTGTCCTCATGAATCCTGTAGAAAAGTGCATATACGTTTTTGGGGTTTTTTTTCACTTTGACAAAAACCACACAAGACATCTCTGACACCCAGCAATGACTTTTAGACCCATAATGTCTTTGAATGCCATAAAATCTGCCAATTCAAAGTGCCACAGGGGAGTGAAGGCTTCCAGTCAGTTTTGTGCACAGAAAAGCAAATTTCTTTGGTTTTGCTGCCTGATTACTCTTGCTTGGACATCCCCTCCTTACACCTTCCAGAGAGCAGCATGAAGTGGTTGGTACCTCTGGCCTTTGAGGGCAGCACAGGCAGGTCCTACATCATTTAGCCCTGCAAAGGCATTGCAGCAAAGCCCACCTGGACTGATGGAAGCCCCGCAGGGGTTTGTGGTTGGTGCCTCCAATGGGGACGTGGCAGTCGGGACAGCAGCTCGTCTCCATGGGGAGCCCACACTGTGAAAAGCAACAGGAGAACACTGAATTCCAGAGCAACAGCTTCTCCAGCAGAGAAAGGGAATGAAACAAAAATCCAACCCCTAAGTGGTTAATTCAAACCCTGCTACAAACTGGGCCTCTGCCTGATGTTTCCCCATCTATGGTATAAATGCTAGGGGTATTCCAAATTTTACATTACAATGACAAAATGATCAATAATATCGAGTTTAGAAGTGGAACTCTGTGCATCAGGACATTCAAACCAGTAAACAAAATAAAACAGTTTATTGTTGAAAGCTTTGTCTGCTTTAATACCCACCATTTCCAAATTCTTACCTCTCCCACAGTGCACAAGTGGCCATTGGGACATTCTGTCAGAAGAGAAACAAACAGGACAGTATTCTAGGACCGATTTATACAGCCCCTGTTATTCCCTCTCACTGGTACCATCATCCTGGAGCAAGAAATATGCTGAAGATCTAATCCAAAGCCCTGACCATCCCAAAGCCCAAAGGACTGACAGGCCCGTGCAGGAAGCCAAGGAATTTTTCAGTGTTGCTTCTCCTTGAGAAACAAGGAATCAAAGCCAGATTCTGTTGCTGTGGGCAGGAATGCTCTCACCCCTATTCCCTGCTGCAGGAAGGTTCAGCTGGGGGAAGCAGAGACAAAGCTGGCCAGGAAGGTGGCAGAGCTCTCCTCACACCCTGTTTGTGTTGCCTTTGTGCCCTCTCATGCTCTGTGAGCAGCTGTAGGCTGAAGACTAAACAGCACTGGATGTCCTTTGGTGCATCACCCACACAAACTGTCTACAAATCTGGATTTAACATGGATAACTCATGCTGAGGAGTGTGTTTCCTCACATTTGTAACAGTTTCATTCTCCAAACCCAAGGAATTCCTTCCCCAGCCAGCCAGCAGCACTCACCATACCAGTGCAGACCACGCATTTCCTGCCAGGTCCTCGCCTGAGCCATCATGTCCTCGGGCATCGTGGGCAGAAAGGAGTGCTGAGGAGGAAAAGGGGTAAACAGTCACAAAAGGATCTGTGAATCAGCTCTGTCCTGCAGCAGGCACTCACTGGGTCTCTGTTCACACTGGGGAACAAGAAACATCTGAGAGCAGAGGTCAGGCAGGTGATGCAGATTCTCAAATTCACCTTTGAAAATCCACTCTTAGAGCTGTCAGTATTGTTAAGACTTGCATGTGCACTCTCCAGACATCCTGCAGTGCACCCTGGTGCACACCAGCATGTTCCCTTACACCTTGGGCAGCCAGCAGCAGCAGAGCAGCAGCTCCTCCCTCCTGGCCTGAGAAGCCAGAGCTCTCTGAGCAGGCAGGTCAGCACAGTGGGAGCTGCCAGCTGCACTCAGCCTCACTCACCCAAGTATCAGCAAAGGTATTTGCTTCATACTGCTCAGGATGGAGAGATGCCTTGAAAAGCTACCAGGCCAGAGCTTGGTGTTAAAATAATCCCTCCCCCCAGTGTTTCACAGCTCAACCAGTGAGTTGGAGCATTGCTGTTGAGAAAGAGGATCCAGCAGCCACAGGCAAGAACCAGGGATGAGCTGAAGTGCACCTGAGCTCCGTGCCCTCACCTGCATGCTGTGTGGCTGGAAGGCCAGGTTCCTGAGGGGCTGCAGGACAGGGCTGTGCCCACAGAGCAGCACAGCAGCCACGTGCACAGCCATCTCCACCAGGGCTCCCTGCTGGCTGCGGCCCCGTGGCTCCACGGCCAGCCCGGGCAGGGTGTTCTTCACCAGGGCAACTGCAAAGTGCTGCAGCTCGGGGGAATTCAGCACTTGGCAGCTCTGGATGAACTCAGTCATCACCTCTGTTTGCTGAAAGCACAGATTGGAAAGAGCTAAAGACATCAGGACACTGCCCCCACCCAAATGAAGAGCGCTGGCAGCTGCTTCCCATGCTGGGTTACCCTGCTCCCAAAACCTCCCCAGCCTGCTCACTCAGGCCATCACCCTGGCTGGGGCACAGGAGCAAAAGCTCCTCCACAACTGATTTAGATGCCCTTCACCCTTACCCACAAAGCAGGTTTGCCACAAGCTGCCAGAGGGGAGTGTCCTACCTGCTGCTTGGGATGAAGGCTTGGATCCCCGTACAGGGCAGTGACCTCTCGGAAGATGGCCAGGAGCAGGTGGGCAGATTCCAGAACTGGGGGGCTGCTGGAGGCCTGGGGAAGAACCAAGGATGTGGCAGGGGACAGGCCAGAGCTGCCCCAGCTGCAGTGATGGGATGTGCGGGTGGAAAGTAAAGCAAACGTGCTTGAGCACAAGCCCCAGTGAGCTCCCTGCAGAGGCCCCCAGGTGCTGGGAACAGACACTGCCCACAGGGACACAGCAGAGCTGGGGCCATGCAAACCCCCGGAGGGGTCTGGGGGGAGGACAGGGCCCAGCAGGGGTCTGAGCGAGGACAGGGCTGTACCTCCTGGGTCTCGAGCAGCCCCTGGGCCGTGCCCTCCATCATGGCTCGTCCCACGGCGTCGCGCAGGGCCCGGTACCGCTCCCCACACACCAGGTACTGGTCGATGTGGTTGGACTGGCTGTGCTGGACCTGCCGAGGGAACAGCCATGCACAGCTCTGGGGACAACCACCCAGCTGGGGGAAGCAGAATCTCCTCTTCCTCCCGAGCACAGGGGCATTTCAGGCTCCCCAGGGCAGCAGCAGCAGACATGGTGCTGCCAGGAGAGTCTCCATTCACCCGAGAGCCAGGACAAACCAGCTCCCAGCCACTGCCACTCTGGCCTGACCCCAAGAGCACACAACTCTAGGAACACCCAAAGCAGCAAAAAGTGAAGGCAAAGAGGAGACCAGAACCATCACCAGGAGATGCCTCTTGTCTACCTGTTGCAGAATTTCTGCTGGGAACACCCAGCTGAAGCGTGGCTCTGTGACCAGCTTCTGAGCAAATTCCATCCCGTGCTGGCTGGCAATCCTCCTGACCAGGTACACATGGTGCCAGTCGTTCCTGGCGAGCCTGCAGAACTTCTCCACACTCTTCAGGTAATGCTGCTCATCCTTCATCTGCTCTGGCTCTGGAGGGGAAAAAAAAAGGTTAAAACAAAAAGGCAAAAGCACATCCCACCTTGTAAAACTTTTCTGTCTGCCCCAGCTGTAGCACCAAGTCCATTTATTAGTACTGTGTTATTACACAGAAGAACTTCAGAGCCCTCCCTTCCTCAGGTGTTGTCTGGAGCATTTTCTCAGCCAGATTTCAGACAATGATTCATTTCTTTGACAGGGAAGATATAAACTCATCAATATAAACTCTTAATCCCTTCTAGCTGTGCAGAGCTCTCATTCATATAAAACAATAACCCTTACAGCAGTCCTGGGTCTGAAGCAGCATTTATGCTTTAAAGTTCAATTTAGTGGGCTTTAAATAAATTTCATTGTTAGCAACAGGAGGATAAAATAAATCTCCTTCCACAGGTGTAACTGCCATGTAACTGCACTGGGGTCACCAGCACAGCCTTGCTAGCAGTTACCAAGAACTTCCAACACCTGGTACAGGGGACAGACACTGACTGACACCCCCAAGGAAAAAGGGAACTGCTGCTCTCCTTCTTGGCCATGTACCAAAACAGGTCCTAGCAGAGCACAGGGCACTGACAGTGTCCAGCCCACCTCCCCTGCACCCAGCATTTCCAGCAGAGCACTCAGACTCACGTGTGTGCTGCTGCAGGTGGAAGATGAGCTCTGCAGCCCTGCTCAGGCACAGGCGCACCTCGGCCACAGCCTGCAGGTATTCCACCGAGGCTTCCTGGGGAGCCCCTCTGCTGCTGGCTGCCAGGTAGTTCTCTGGAAAGGCTCTGTCCTCAGGCACACTGCTTCCATGCCCATATCCCAGGCTGTCCTCTGACTTCTCACACATGGAATCCTAGAGAGAGGCCAGAACACTGGTGAGTAACAGAGCCACCTCACCCAGCCATCCCTGTGTCTCCAGGGCACCCACCCTGCCACGAGCACAGCAAACCATCCCTGAGCCTCCAAACCATCCCTGAGCCTCCAAGCCCACCCTGCCACGAGCACACCAAACCATCCCTGAGCCTCCAAATCATCCCTGCACCCTCCACCCCACTGCCACTGCCCCCTCATCCTAAACCTCTGCCATGTCACCAAACACCATTTTTAGGATGTGCCCCAGCTGTCCCACACTCCCCAAGCTTGGAGCTGAGCAAGAGCCATGAGCAGGCTGTGAGTAACACACATTCCATGTTCCAAGATCCCAAGCTCTACTTATCTGTCCCTTAGCAAAAACACAAATGATTTTAGCTACAAAGTCACTTTAAAAAAAACTGTAGTAATAAAACCTCTTTCCTGCTGTCATATTTGGTTCTAGTTGTCCAAAGCCCTGAAAGTTATGCAAGGGGAGGAAAGGGAACAATCCAAAAGGCATAATAATTTAAGTTCTGCACAGTAATTTAAGGGTTGTGGAGACAAGAAGACAGTTCAGCAGTTGGCTGCTGCCATGAGAAAGGCCCTGCTTGCTGCACTCCTGTGCTGGAGTCTGAGGTTTAACACTCAGACACTTGTCCAAGGGAAAGAATTTATGTAACACTGCAAAGACACACAAGCCTTTCCTTGAAAAGCAAGGCTCATTCCTGAGAGCAAATTCTGACCAGGTGATTTCATATCAACTCCTTCTGGGCTTTCTAGCTGGAAAAATAGTTATATACACAAGAAACACACCTAGACCTGCAGAAGAATTTCTGTTCTTGTTTTACTCATGAAACTGCAACCGTTTCATGGCGCAGCTCTTACCTCCAAGCAGTTGACAAAAAGCAAGTAGAGCTCTTTTTTGTCATTTTTCTCTAGGAGCTCGTTGTGCTCCACCTGGGACAGGTAACGCTGCACATCATCTTTGACTTCATTGAAGCTACAGGAGAGAGAGAGACCCCTGACACAGCTGCCATGCTGACAGGACTGCTCCTGCTCTAAATCACAGCACAGCTCCCAGAGCTGGCTGTGGGACAGGTGGGGTCACTCTGGATCCAGCTGCAAGATAGAGAAGCCCTTGTGCCCTTTTCTGCAGGTGACATTTGGCAATGAGCCAGGCTTTGATCATCAGCAGTGCTCAGTGAGCACTCCCAGGGCAAAAGGCATCTGGTTCAGGAGGTGGTCACACCTGAGAAGGGGCTTTTGAGCCATCCCTGCAAAGGGCGGCTGGGAGGGCTGTGGGAATGGGGAGGTCTGTGGAGCAGACATAAGATCAGTTTAAATCCTGATTAAATCTCTGTGAATGAGGAGTTTTGCTTTGCTGACCTAGATCAGAGCAACTACTCAGCCACCTTGCAGAACCCAGGCATCCATCCTCTGCACAGGGTTAGTGAGGGACAGCCAGGTAAACCTTGCACAGGCTGCTCACACTGCACCACAAGCTCCATGCAAGCCAGCCAAGCTGCATGACTAATGCAAAGATCGTGAGATTTTGTGGTGAATGTGAGATTTAATGAAACTCAGGGAGGCGAGGAGAACAATGGTTTGATGAGGAGCACAGCTGAACCTGGTCTGGCCTAACCTCCCTCACTTGAATGTGCTCACCTGTACTTCAGGAGCAGCTTCAGCATCACAGAGCGGATGATGGGAGTTTCATCCACCTCATCATTAAATGGGGACAGGAATTTTGTGTAGACAGCAGGGTGACCTGTGGGGACAAGGGAAGGACAGGTTGGGAAGGTGAGAGAAGGTGGTGACAGATCCAGCTCTGTAAGACTGAGTGTCAGGTGAAAGGAGCTCACTTGGGTCTTTCACAAGGCTTCTGTGAACAAAGAGCAGGTTCAAGAGCCTCTGGATCACCTCTGGCTCAGGGGGCTCGTTGTCCTTGAAGCACATGGTGGTGACCATGTCAATGAAGAAATTATTGCACCTCTGGCGGAACAGGGAGTTCTTTGCTATGGCAGCTCTGGGAGGGGCAAAAGCAAACACAGAACCTCTTAAACCACAGAGGAACTGAGCACACACAGGCAAAAGTCACCAAAGGGAGAGATACTTTTCCACCTTCCCAACAAGACGATCCTTAAGGTCCCTTCCAACCCAAACCATTCTATGATTTGCATGTTTCTACAGAGGCCAAGGCAGCTTTCCCCTTTTTTCAAACAACAGAACAGACATGACCTGTTCAGTTCCAGAGGGATGAAGCAGAGTTCACCCTCCACTCTGCTCGTGCTGACCACTTCAGAGTTGAGAATTTCCTCACAAAGCCTCCCCACTGAATGCTCCCACCTTGGAGAGGGTGGCTGGAGTACCTGAGCTCCTCAGAGACAGTTAACTCCACTTCCTCCACAGCAGCCCTGCAGTAGGGACAGTACATCTGTGCTGGCACCAGCCACAGGCTGATGCACTTGTGGCAGAACACGTGGTTGCAGGGCAGGCAGATGGGGTCCTTTGGCTCTCCCAGGCAGATGGGACACGGCTCCAGACCATGCCTGGAATCCAGAAACAGCAATGAGCACAGCTGCTTCCGTGCTGCCTCCCCAAAAGCCTTGAACAAGACGTCCAGCTGCAGCTAGACCAAGAACTGGCTCACTGCTCAGCTCAGGGTGCAGAACCAAACACTGCTCTTCCCTCGGCTTCCACTGCACCCAGCACTGCCACACCACAGTGGGCAACACAGGCAATATCCCTGCTGGCCCCTGCAGCCTGACCCAGTGTCAGTACCTGTAGAGCCTGCTGCTGACCTCGTTCTTGCACTGGCACAGCACTGTCAGCACTGCAACAAAGGTTGGATGAGACTTCATGTCTGAATCGTGCTGGAAACACTGCAGAGAGAAAGGACAGAGCCCAGTTACTCAGCTGCAACACCTGAGACCAGAATTCCCACGATCAGCAGAAGAGGGAAGAGGTGAAATGGCAGCTTTGCTCACCTTGGCAAGAAGCAAAGTGTATTTTCTCACCAAACCTTCAAATTCCGGCATGACGGCGTGGATGCCCAACAGGACGTGTTCCACAAAGAGTGCCATGGCAAACACACGGCTCCAGCAGACCCTGGGGGGAACAGCAGACTGGCACCACAGCAGGAATGGCAACCAGGGTAGCCAGGGGCTCACTGCTGCTCCTGCACTTCTCACTTGCTTTGCCCTTTGGCTTTCCAGAGGGGTTTTTGTCAAGGACAGAACATTCCAGCACTTCACCCAGGGGGCTCCAGGGCCTGGCCTGGAGGCACCACTGCAGCAGGACCAGCACCACTGCACACATCTCTAATTTCTAGCTCAAAAATTTTTAAAAATACCCATCACAATTAGCTGCACTTTCTTCACTTCAAATAAACGAGGTCTGTGAGAAACTGGGGTAGCGCTCTGGGCTTTTTTCCAAAACACAAGATGCAGTGAAATTCTCCATCTCTTGAGTCCTTATGCACAGAGGATGAAGTGGGGAGACACTGCTGGTTAACAGGAACCTGAAGAGAGTTTTAAATAACCCCTGAACCCAGATGGAATGCACCAGATGATACTGCCAAATTTAGAGAGAGAATCTGCAGGAGATGAGGGGAAAAAAATGTGGTTCTTGCTGCTTGGTATGTAATTGAGCCCAGCAAGAACCTGGAAAGGTTTGCAAAGCCTGAGAAAAGCAGCACCAGAACAGCTTCAGGCTGCTCCAATGTCCCAGAGCACCACCAGGCAAAGAGCAGGGCTGTGAGCAGAGCTGGGTGCCTACCTGAGCTCCCTCAGCAGCTGATGGCAGCGGCTGCCCCTGCGCTGGGCACCCTCCTCTTTGCACAGGAATTCAATGGGCGTATGGAGGTTCTTCACTCTCTGCAGCCAGAGCTCAGGGGAGGCTGTCTGCACCTGCTTCTCCAGCTCCTCAGCACACACCATGGCAGCCAGCACGTCCAGAACCTGCACAGGGCCAGGGGTAACAACAGCTGCACTTCAGAATTCCTCATGGACCTTGGGCTCTCAGTCTGGTTTGCTACAGCACGTGCTTCACTGAATAATGCCCTACTTGATTACTTTAAGCTCTTTAAGTTCTCATGTTTGTGGCTTGGCTCGTTAGCATGTCCTATTAACTAGAGCAAAAGCAGGGCAAACTATTTAAAAACCTGCTTGTAGCAATAAGAACACAATAGATCATTCCCAATTCTGAGGAACCCCAGTCTGTGCTCCCCCCGTGCTGTCACTGAAACCCAAAGGAGACTGAAGACAGTGCAGACAGAGCTCCCTGCCAGGGCTGAGGCAGTGACTCTACCATCTCAGAGCGTGGAATTCTGCATCCTTGCTGGTTCAGGAGGTAGCCAGTCACACAGGGGTACACAGCCAGGATCCTGGAGAAGTTCTGCAGGTGGCTCTTGCACTGGTTGTGTGCCAGGTGGGCCCAGGGCAGGGAGGGCACCAGCTCCTTCCTCCAGGGGGACTCTGCCATCCACTCCTCAACGCAGGACATGAATGCCACACGCATACACTGCAGGGGTGGGACACAGAAAACCAAAGGTGAGAAAGCACTTTAATAATTCATTTAGTACTGGAAATCCTGGCAAAACTCTCTGAAAGACGAGAATCACTTTCCTACAAAGACAGCCTTAAATGTGTCAATTTATGCAGGTGCTGCCTTTCTGAGTAACCCCAGTGTCCAGTGGTCTGCTCTGGGGTTCTCCTGCTGCTGGGCTGTCCCAGAGGGGGTTTTCCCCAAGGCAGGACTGATTCAGGACAACACATTCACAGGCATCACACTCTTCTCCCCAAAGAATTTCCAGCCCCTGACCTGCAGCTCCTTCTGGGAGGACACACCAATGGTCAAGACAATAAAGTCTGTGATGTAGCACTCGAAGAGCATCTGCCTTTCTCCCTCAGTCAGAGCAGAGATGAATTTTCCCAGGGCAGTTTTCTGGAAGTATTCCACAAACTTCTCAGCATGGCCTAGAAAATGAAGATGCAGAGAAAAGCTGGATGTTGGGAGGAAGCTGGCTTTGACACAGCATCTATCCTAGAGACACTGACACCTCATTAATCACTGATGCATCCAGCACTCCCCTCATCCAGGGCACTGAGGAGGGACTCAGGCCAGGCCTTGTCAGCCCAGCACCGTGTTGTATTTCTGCAATCTCACCTTGTCATTAACTCTTGGCTGCTCCACAGTACTTGGAATGCAAGGGCACAGAACAGGTGAGGAAGATGAATGGTGAGAAGCACAAAGAAAGCTGCCTGCACAGAACTCTGCTGGCTCACAGGAGCACAGAGGCAGTGAAGGTGACTCCAGTGACAGGAGGAGCACAGCAGTGACAAACCAGAGCTCAAAGGGCAGTGGATGGAGATGCTGAAGCCAGGCTCTCACCTTCAGTGTTTTGGATGTATTGAGCCTCCAACCACATCTCTTCCAGGTACTCCTTTATCCTCCAGCTGAAGGGCATCTCATTCCCAGCATCAGCAGACACTGTCATGTTGTTCTGCACCACGATTATCTCTGGCTGAGGGCTGGGGGGTTAAAAGCTCATTAATGTACAGGGCTTTTGTCTGGGAAGCACAGTACAGACAACAGAGGCAGAGGCTGCAGAAAGCAACTGAGCCCTAGGAGGGAGGGGAGAGAGAAGGGGAGGGAACTGCAGGACTCTGAAGAGAACAGGCTGAACTGTGAGCAGTGCCTGCTGCCCTCCTGGAGCAGCCAAACAACACCCCTCTGCCTGGGGGGATTAGAGCCAGTGCTGGGCTGCTCCCAGTGCTGCCAGCCCAGCCCTCCTGCTGCTCCCCCAGGCTCACCTGTTCTTCCCCACACCAGGAGGGACACTCAGAAATTTGGAGTCACTGAAGATGAACATCCAGAGCTTTGTCACCCACTTTGGTCCTGGCCTGGCCAGCAGCTCCAGATTGCCATTCCTGTCTATGACAGCAATCAGGAGAGCCAGGAAGGGAGTGACCACCTTCTGCACTCGCTTCCACAGGGTGTGCCTTTGGGGAGACAGAGATGGAGAAACCCAGAGGGAATGTCAGTAAAACAGGAGGTGCCTGCCCTGAATAACTGCTGACATTTGCATGTGACAGAATCCTAATGCTGCCTTTATGGGAAAGAATACCACACCAACAAAAAACCCTGCACTCCTCTCACTCCTGGCTCACCTGCAATCCCACTGTTCCACTCAAGCACTTGTGCATCCCTGTCCCAGTACAGCCCCTTCAGCTCTAACTTACTCTTCCCCAGGAGAGGCTAAAATTGCCTTCACAGAGTTTCCAGCACAGCCTGGAGACTGACACTGCAAATGTTCACACAAGTTACACAAAACTGCTGTCTCTGCTGCACAGGTGCCACTTGCAGACCCTTCCTGGGAAGCTGCAGTGCTGCTGTTCTCACCTGAAGGTACCTGCCTCCTGCAGAGCACTGAGGTTGGAAGCTTCCCGAAGCACCCAGTTTTTTGGGTGAAGGGAATTTTCTTCTTGCTTCTTCAACAGGCTGGAGAGACGAGCCTTGGTTATCTTCAGGAAGGAGGCTACAAAACAGCAGGGAAATTGTGTTTTCTCTTCTATTAGCTTGGATCCAAATATCCCACCAAGCACAGCATTTGACAGTTGTTTCAATAATTGGCCAAGTGGGGAAAAAACCAGCCAGCACAGCCAGAGAAAAAGCCACTACTTAAACAGCAGAAAAGCCTTACATCCACCCACGCACTGCAGCACGGACACACATTCTTGGGAGAGCCCCCTTGCCTGCACCACAGCAAGGACCTCTGCATCCCCAGTGAGCTGACAGTTTTGGTGGTCCCCAGATGCCCAGGGACTCCCTACAGCACACACCTTTCAGCTCATCCTCTTTGGAGAAGAGGCCAAGCAGAATCTCAATTCTCCTCCTGCTCCGGCTCAGGTCCTCGTTCTGGTCCCGCAGCATGCCCACCGCACTCTGCACGCAGGTCCTCAGCAGCACCGTGGTGTCCAGGATCTCCCCCTGCCCAGGGAAACGAGGTCATTCTCCTGGAGTGACCCTCCTGTCCCCAGCACACTCCCTTAAAAGCTTTACAGTGCTCCCTCAAATTGCCTAATGCCTGGCATCCCGGTTTCCAGCTCCCCTCAACTCAGGCTGCAAATCTCAGCTCTTTTGCTGTCAAGAACATGATGCAGCTTCTGTGGCCCTTTCAAACTGGCCTGTGACACAGCATTTGTGCTGAGTTGAGATTCCTGCAGGGGAAAGATTCAGCAGTTTGAAGAAAGAAATGGAAATAATCAATGTGACCAGGGAAAATGTGCCCTTCCTGGGAAATGCTCCATGTCCCTGCTGCTGGGCATGTCCAGCTGAGGCTGCCAGGGGCACATGGAGCAGTGTGAATGTGGCTGCAGCACAGCCAAGTCCTCAGCCAGCCCAGCTCCAGCTCCACCTCAGAGCACACAGCTGGAGTGAGGCTGAGGACCACAGCTCCCACCTCCGGGGGAGAAAGGAAACAGAAACTCTTAGAGCTGATTTTTAAAAATCAGAAGAATTAAATGACTAAAGAATTAGAGTCCTTAGAATGGTTGATTTCTTTAGTGATGTTGATTTTGACTGGGCAGTGGGGAGGAGGAGCTTGTATCTGATCAGTAACATTCATGATACAAATATTGCTGATTGGTTTCAGGTGAAGGGGGACACAAAAGGTGGGCTGCATCCACAGATGACAGAGCAGAGAGCCACGTGACAGCTGAGAGGCAAACAAATGTATTCTGAACTGACCTCCTGGTGCTCTGCTCCTGGCACTGGTGTTCCAACCTCCATCTCCTCCTGCTCTGCTTCTCCACTGGTAGGCAGAACTGCAGCTAAGGTGTAGAATTTTTATTAGAAAGCAGCAGTGCACTCCTGCATCAGTCAGATCAGTTTATTTTAGCAACTGCATCCCAGAGCAGCAGAACATCTGTCAGAGATCCATTAGCACCTGCATGAGTAGCTGAGATTCACCTCGCAAACACAGCCACAGCTGCTTGGGCTGTCAGGCTTCATGCAGCAAGAGCTGGAAGAAATGTGAGCTAATGCCTCAAGCTCTCCCTGATCCTGTCAGGCAGTATGGTGCAAGGAAAAAGAGTAAGAAAAAGCTGAGGGGAAAGAAAGATCCTTGTTGGTCTCTGCCATGCAGCATCTGCTGCCTCCTGTGCTGGGACAGAGCACTCAGGCTGCTGAGCAGTGCAAATGCCACATTTTTGTCAAAAAGAAAAGGGAAAAATACCAAATTAACTTGCTTGATGACCTAAATTTGTAGTAATGAATTAAATACAAGTTGGGAGCCATGTGGTGACCCTACCAAAACCAGGTGCTGAGCAGGGAAAGTCATCAGGTAAGTTGTGCCAGGCATCAGTTCCTGTAGTACCAAGTCTGGGACCACAGCCCCCCATTTCCCCAGCACACTGCTCACCTCTGGCTGCACCTGGATCCTGAGAGAACACCTGGCTGATGGTGAGGTTCTGCAGGGCTGTCAAGTCAGAGATCATGTCCTTGGATCTGCGGAGGTCGTCGATGTGCACCGACTGCCACAGCCCTACAGGCACAGAACAAGGAATCACTCCCAGCCTGCAGCTTGCTCTTCCAGAGGAGCACCCCCAGAATTACCTGCCAGCCCCTGGGGTTACTTTCAGAGGTCACTAACTCTCACCTCTTGCTGTAGGAGGGGAAAGAACAATGCCCTCAGAACCTGCTGCCTGACGGGTCCAAGGTTCTGGGGCTCTCAGAAGACCCCAGACCCAGAGGAACCTTGCTGAACACGTCAGCACCTGCTCCAGAGCCTCGGAGGACAACACACCCACACACCTCGTGGCTGTGTGCTGCTCTCCAGCTGACTGCAGGGGGGACCTGTCTGTCAGCAGGCAAGGCAAGGACTGCCAGGTACTGATCCCCTGGGCAGCCCTGTGGGACAGGGAAGCAGCTCTGACAACCCACAGGACACACTGAGTCCAGCTTCTCAGCATTTAGAGGAACAGTGAGCAAGAGAAATGATTGCCTAAAGGGACAGATGGGCACACCCACCTCCATGGAATCCCACGTAGGATGTTCCTCCTTCCAGCCGGGAAAGCTTCATGATAAAGTAAACAAAGACAGAGACCTCCCCCAGGTCCACCTTGTTGATCTCATTGACAATGGTGTACCTGCAGCAAAGAGGAAATGCTGATGGCAGAGCAAAGGCACACAGAGGCCCATGGCCACAGGTCTCTCCTCAGAGAGGACACATGTCCTCTCCCAGAACAGACACAGGTGACTGCCACTCCTTCCTCCCAGCTGTGCCCTGAATTACCCTGTGACCCTCAGCTCTTCAGGAATTCTGCAGCCAATGGCCAGAATTCACACATCAAAGGGGATAATCTGCTCATTTCACCCAGCTCAGCTTACTCTGACTTGGGTTATGGATTATTTGAAATACAACCAGTGCATTTAGATTCATTCTGCTACAGAAGAAAGGACTGCACATTCCTGACTGTGAGATCCCCAAACAGCACCAATAACCAAACAGCAAGGAGTGGCCTGGCAGAACTGAACCACTCCACACCCACTCACTTGGCTGAGGCGATGAGCTGGGCATTCTGAGAGCCATCTCCAAAATCTGTCTGAATAATGAGGACTTTATTTCCTGAAGTGGAATCCAGGAAATCCCTGAAGAGTGAAAAGAGATTTAACAGAAGTCACTGAGTATAGACCAAACATTAAAGACCACAGAACCAGTCATTCCACATTAGCTTTGGCTGATACAGGAGGAAAGAGAAAACCACCAAACCCCATCTCATGTGATGGAGCTGACAAGGTTTGTCCCTTATCAGCAGATATCTGGGCAGAGCCAGCCCACTGCCAGCACAGCTCCATTTTCCATATGTGCTACTCTGAATGCTCTGCCCACACACCCTGCACACAGCTGACAGCCCATTCCCAGCAGGAAAACACGGCCCAGACTCACCGGATGCCCTTCAGAAAGGAGTACTCCGTGTCAAACTGCTGCAGGAACAGGATCTGGGGCCTCTGGGCCTTGCCCTGCACCTCCCTCTCCAGGCAGGCAGCATCAGCGCTGGTGAGCAGCCGTGAGAAGGTGGTGACCTGGAGAGAGAGGGGCAGCAATGCAGCACCTGCGCTCAGAGGGCTGCCAGCCTGCTGCAGTGCCCCCCAGCCTGCTGCAGAGCTGCACTGCACTGCTCCCCAGCCTGCTGCAGAGCTGCACTGCACTGCTCCCCAGCCTGGTGCAGAGCTGCACTGCACTGCCCCTTGGCCTGCTGCAGAGCTGCACTGCACTGTCCCTGGGCTGCTGCAGAGCTGCACTGCACTGCCCCCCAGCCTGCTGCAGAGCTGCACTGCCCCCATGGCCTGCTGCAGAGCTGCACTGTGCCCCAAAATCACCACTTATTTGCTGCCAGCTCTGCACACCCGGCACTGCAGTGCACGCAGGTGGTGCCACGCTGCAGCCCGGGCACACGGAGATGAGCAGGGTCAGGAGGGCTGGCAACACCCCAGCCTCACCTCGGTGAAGGCAGTCTGGGGCCCGGCCTCTGCACGCACGTGGGCGCCCAGGAAGTCGGCGAAGGAGGTGTGCTGCTGCTGCCTGAAGTAGGTGTGGGCCAGGGAGTGCGCCATGAACACCCCCACGGAGTTGCAGAGGCGGATGACGGCGTCGGGGGTGGCACAGTTGAGCAGGGCCAGCCGCGCCTGCTCGGCGACACGCGGCAGGAGCTCGGCGGGGGCGCAGGCCGGGCGCAGGCGCTGCGTGCCCTGCAGCACCAGCGAGGCGCAGGTGTCGGCGTGGTAGCCCACGAACACGTCTGCGGGGCGGTACCGCTGCTGGCTGATGAAGTGCTCCTCTGTGTTGACGGCCGTGAACTCCTGCACCCACCGCTCCAGGTCCTGCACGGCCTCCCTCTGGCCCTTGTCCAGCACGGTGCTGATGTCCAGGTAGTGCTTCTCCAGCCGGTTGATCAGCGGGATGGGGAAGTGCTTGTACACCACCCCCTTCTCCTCGATGACGATCAGGCGAAACTTGGGGTGCACCCGGCACTTCACCCGGTGCGTGCCCAGCCCCAGATCCACATACTTCTGCCCGGCTAGGTACACATAGTACTGGTTGAGGGCATCATAGAGGCTCTCGTAGAGGTTCTGCAAGTTGAGAAGCACAACCATCTGGCCAGTTTCCATGCAGACCTTCACTCGGTTTATGTTTCTGCATATCTGGGTGTATTCTTGGTCCTTAGGAAAACTGGAGCCAAAGATGATTTCTGGCTGCTGTCGGGCAGTGAAAAAAGCCTGCTGGAGGATCTGCAGCGCAGCATAGTTCTCAGTCAACACAAGCAGGTACCTGCAGTCCCCATCCTCAGCACCGCTGTAAATGTTCTGTCGGATCAACTCTATCCTACTGATGTCGTGAGCACGTATCTCCCCTTTTTGTAACAACTTGGAAGTGAATATTTCCAAGGCATTGACATCATCTTTGCCACCGAAGTTACGAAGAACCACTGCAGCGATGTCCTGAGGTGTGGGCTCGCTTTTGGAGCTCTTAGCTAAGGCAAAAAACATCTTTATGAGGCTGTAGTAGTCACGCAGGCCAAAGAACTCCCTGTCTTGGGCCTTGCAAATGTTTTCATATGCATCTGCAAAGTGATGGAAATACTGTTCGACCTTCTGCAGAGTCCCTCGTGCCGAGCAGCAAATGCCCTTCGCGCTCTCGATGAGCTCCTCTCTGCTGGGGTCTCCACGAGACACAAAGATGCCTCGATTCATCTTAGCAGGGTCCAAAGCCCAGTTGGAAATCCCAATGAAGCCAACCTTTTTGTGAGGAAGAGGGACATCATCTATGCAGCCATCCTCCAAAAGTGGATGCAAAGTCTTCAATGGCATTTTGGGAGAGTCTTCTGCCAGCCCAATCTCATCCAAAACCACCACTGATACATACTCCTCCAAGTTCTTCCCTTCCTGGAATCGAGCACAGTGCTTAAAAGTGCCTATGATTCCCTCTGGAGTGGAGAGAGGGCTGCACTGAAAAGACACAAGATGGATCTGCTTCAGGTCCTTGAACAGATCAGAATGAGCTGCTTGGCCCTGCATAGCATCAGCCACGATGGTTTTTGCCAGGGATTTGGAGCTTCCAGGCTTCCCAACAAGAAAAAGAGGGATTTTCAGCTCAATACAGATGACCATCATGAAGACATTTTCCTTCAAGGCCAAGTTCCTTGCTATGGTATCCCGGAGTGGCACCCCACTCAAGAATAAGTCCTGCATCAGGGTGATTTCTTCCAAAATCTTTTTCTGGGTATTGTAAGGCTTTGGGAGGACCTGGCTGATGGCAGTCCTGTACGGCTCCTTCCTTTCCAGGGACGCATGGTAGCAGACCCCGACCGCCAGCACCAAGGACCAGATGACACCATTTCTGTCACTGCCGCCCTTGGGAGCTTTCCTCTCCGCCAAGTACTTCTCCAGCTCCCTCAGCAGCAGGTGGCTGTGCCTGCAAAACCACTTGAACACCTCCATGCAGCGCTCCACGTCCCGCAGGCTGACGAAGCTGCACTCGTCGTCCCTCTGCCTCATGTACTGCTGGGAGGCAAAGAGCACCTCTGTGACCACCCTCACCTCGTCCTTGGCCATGGGCAGCTGCTCCGCCACGCGCTGCACGATCTGCTGGATGTACTTCTTCTCCATGTGGTTGTTGAGCTGCCCAAAGTCCCACACCAGCGGGATCATGCTGGGCGGGAGCGCGTGCACGCGGTACACGAGCTGCCTCAGCGGGATGGAGCCCAGCTTCTCCCGGGTGTCGTCGGCCTTCACCCGGTAGCCCAGCCCAGCCAGCTCCAGGCGTTGGATCATCCTGTCCGTGTGCTTCCGGTAGGGATTGCAGGCTGCGATGATCCGCAGGCCAGAGCCAGAGGCCAAAGGCTGCCCCTGCACCGTGCGGTCACACAGAACCTCCTTGATGCTGCTCACGGCCTCTGTCGTGTTGGCTTCGTCGAAAAAGAGGACGGTGTCCAACCCATGCTGCTCCTTGTTGTATTTAGCCAGGGCTTCTGCTTCTCTGACCCTGGCGTAGACCATCTCTGCAGTGGTACCTCCATGAACCTTGACAAGCTTCATGTTCTCCACCTCTACAAAGCTTCTGCGTAACTGGCACAGGAACTTCACCAGCCTGGTTTTCCCACAGCCTGTTTCTCCCATGATGACCACCGGGATGTTGCAGCGGAATCGCATCTCGATGGCCAAGATTTTCAGCATGTTGTCTGTGGTGAGCTCGTACGTCTCGTCGGGGTCAAACACCCAGGGGAGCCCCAGCACCATGCAGAGCCTCTCGAGCTTCTCCTCGCGGGGCAGCTGATCAAAGGGCACGTTGAAGGGAACCCTCTGCACTAACAAGCCCTGGAAGAGCTGGGCAGTCATGATGTCCTTCTTGATGACATTCCCGTTCAGAGGATTGATGGCATCAATGCGATTCCCGGTCTGCTGGAAGTGGAAACCAATGAATGTCATGGACATACGATCCCCATTGAAAAACAGATAGGGATGAGGCTCTGACTCCCACTTCTTCCTGATGCGGAAAGGAAGCAGATCTTCCTCAGCGACATTCTCCAGGTGGGAGGATCGTCTTCCTGAACTCTGGTCGGAAATGCTCAGGGAGGGCGTCGCAAAATCCCGCGCCATTAAAATCATGAAGCCAACCACAAAGTTCTTGAAACCATTCAAAGTGTCCCGGACAAAGTCAGGGTTGCAGAAGACAGAGGCTTCGCAGTCTCTCAGCTGAATATTGAGGAACCAGGTGAAGTTGCGGAGCTCTGCCCAGGAGGGATCCACGACCCCGCAGTGCAGGAGGAAGAGCTGCAGACATTCTGCAGGGCTGCCTTCCACCGAGAGCGCCTCGTACCAGAACGTGTCCAGGTCACAGCCCTGGTCAAACCTCTTCAGGTACTGGAAGGGTCTCTGGAAAGCCTCACTGCAGAATTCCTCCTTGTCCATTCCCACATCCCCAGAACCGTTCCCAAGTGTCTCCATTTCTAGCACTTCTTTGGGAGACTTGCACGTTATTTTAGGAAACACATCCAAGAAGTGATACTTTTGGCCCACTGACATCTGGAGAAAAAGAAAATAAAAGGTCATCACAGAGCTGTAGCCTCACTCTTCATCAGCTTAGGTAATCTCTTGTTAACAGTCTCCTTGCCTAAAACCACAGGCCTGAGGAACAGGAGCCAGCCTTTTCCCTGTGCATCCCCTTCTTCCACTTAAAGTGCACCAAGGAATCCTATTCCCTCCTACACATGAACCTGGCATCACCTCCAGCCCCTTCTCCGGGCTACTTCAAAGAAAACTAAAGCCAAGAAACTGCTGGTATTTATTCCAGTTTCTTTTACATTCTGTTCTTACAGCTGCACCTACTTTCCAACATGCAAATTAACACGAGGGAGATTAGATTTTGCATTTTTATGTTTCCCATAAATGCTACAGTGGGGGCAGTGAGGCTTGGACTAAAGTGCCTTCAGAAATCATCAACCCAAGGACACCAGACAGGCCTAATTTGCTGTCTGGTGTTAGTGTCACCTTGTACAACACCAGTTTGTTATGGGATACAGCACAACCCCAATGAAACAGGGAACTCCTCTGCTGTGTTTACAGTTAGAGTCTCTACAACTCACCATCCCAACACACATGTGCTCCTTGAACACGGCCGCAGCCGAGTCGGAGGGCTGAGCCACTCGGAAGTGGTGCTGCAGGTACTGCTGGATCTCTGCCCGTGACCTCTGGGGAATCATGTGCACCTTGTAGTGGCTGAAGGCAGAGAGCAGGTAGCTGGTGTCCCGCTCGCAGCTGCACAGGATGATGAGCCTGTAGGAGCTGTTGTAGCACTTCAGGTGCTGGAACAGCTCCTCTGCCCTGCAGCTGACGTCGTAGCTCAGCTCATCCGCATAAAGCATCGTGTAGATCTTGTTCCCTCCCTGGCAGGGAATGAGGCACCGGCGCAGGAACAGCCCCACCTGCTCTGCACTGGTCTGGGGCGTGCACAGCAGCACCTCATCGAAGGTGGGAAGGGGCTGCTCGGGGCTGTTCATGTAAATGGCCAGGGCAGAGCTGAGCACCTCAGAGCGAGGGCAGGTGATGAGGTTGGGCTGGCCCACACAGAGCAGGTCCTCAGGGAAGTCTCTGGTGACAGATTCCCTGCCACTGCTGGCCAGGTTCTTCAGCCACACGCTCAGTGTGTCCACGTCCAGGCAGTTGGGGAGGAAGGAGCCCATGTTGTTCATGTAGCACTCCCAGATGCGCTCCAGCCGGGCGCTCAGGTCCCTCTCCCCATCCAGCAGCACTTGGAAGTCAGAAACAGCCTGGCCTGAGCTGTGAGGCCCCTGGCTCCCAAGGGCTTTGAGGACGTCCTGCTCAGTGCAGTGGGGGTTGAGGAAGGAGAGCATCATGAGGGCAGCCTGGCTGGGGCTGCCCTGGCCCAGCTCTGAGCACAGGTACACCAGCTGCTCCGCACTGTAGTAGTTCAGGTAGAAATGCTCACATCGCTTGGCATTCATGAAGCTTTTCCAACTCTCCAGAAAGCTCTCCATGGTCTTGCAGAGGGCTGGGAGCACAGCTGCCATATCCCCTTGCCCTTCCAGCACTGGGATGGGGCCCAGGGAGAAGTCTATAAAAACACAGGATTCTTTGTGGGGTGAACAATACACCTGGGCGAGCCAGGAGCGGAAAAGCATGTTCCCAGCTGAGTACAGGTCTATAAAGGCCTGGGCAAGTCTCTGGACATTGGAAAAGACCTGTGTGAGGACAGAGGACAGAGAAACAAGCTGATTTACAAATTTCGGCCACGAAACCACTGGAAAGACATTCAATGAAGAGTCTTTGGCCCCAAGGTGTGTCAGGCCTTGTACAGCAGCCACAGACTCTCTGTGACTTTTTTACAGCAGCAGCCCCAGGAAACCAGTAAGGAACTCCCAGTTTGCTATAAAATTACAGTGATGCTGCCAGCCAGGACAATCCCCAGTGCAGCCAGAGAATAAGGCCACCAGTTCATTGTTCTGTCTCCAGCTTAGTTCCACCTTAGCAAGGAACCAAAGGCAGAAACACCAATGTGCCTGTAACCACCACGCCCGCAACTCCACTGTCAAGCACAGCCTTAAAAGCTTATACTCAAGGGAAAATCCAGCCCTGGCCCCAACACCAGTAACCCCCTGGGTTTGGAATCTGACCTCAGAGAACCTCTCCACCTCCAGGCCTTGCTCTCCCTTGGCTGACATGAGCATCAGTTTGTTCTGCAGCTCACGGAGCTCTGCCAGTGAGTACTTCCAGGAGGCCTCGGTGTCCCTCGAGCTCCCTGGGAGGGTGAAGCGCAGGACACTGTCCAAGGAGACCTGCCAAGAGCAGGAGCTGTCAGCGTGGCTGGGGCTGAGGCTCTGCCCGAGGCCAGGGCAGCAGCCCCCAGGCAGGAGGGGCAGCGGGAGCTGAGTGACCTCAGCCTCACCTTTTGGCCATCAGCTGGTGCCCTCAGCACATAGACCCCTCTGCTGTTGATGGCAGCTGCCAGGGACAGTGAGGACAGCTCCACAGAGCCATGGCTCTCCTTCACTGTCTTCAGCCACTCCAGGTGCTGAGCCGAGGCGCGCTGTGGGGAGAGGAGACACCGCACTGCCTCGACTGCTGTGAACTCTGATCCCTGCTCACACCTGACCAGGACCAACAGCTCGGGCTGGCACAAGAGTTTAGTGATGGAGAAGGAATGAGTACTGGTTTCAGCCTGCTCTTTCTGCACAGCTCTTCCTTACCCACTCCACGGGAGGCTGAAGAAAGCTTCAACACCTCTTGCTGCAGAAGCAGGCCCTGCTGCAAAAGGATAAGAGGTCCCAGGCATTTGCCTCTCCTCTTCCCCACCATCAAACTTGCAGGAGCCAAGCCACACCACATCACACTGGAAAGCCTCACAGTGCCCTGGAGAAACCTGTGCTACACCAGCTGTGAATCTTTGTGCTGCAGGAACATCAGCCGGTTTTCCTCCAATAACCTGAGCCACAGTGATGTCCCCACACAGGTGCCATTTGCCCAGTGCAACCCAACTTCCAGCCACTTCTGGAAGGCAGAAAGGCAGGAGGATGCAGAGGCCCTGCTCCAGCAGAACTCACCAGTTTCTCAGGGAGGGTGTCATCGCTGTCCAGGGCTCGCCACAGCTTCTGCAAGCAGCGCATGAAGTCCTCGAAGCCCGAGTCCTGGTGGAGCTCGTAGAGCAGGGAGGAGTAGCCGTGCACAGCGCCATGGAAACAGGCCACACGGTCCACGTCCATGTCGTTCTCCCCCGCCGAGATGGAGGCCAGGTCAACAAACACCTTCAGCTCATTTATGTCTGAAACGAGGCAACACGGGAGTGAGCAACAGCAGCTCGGACACCGGCCCTCATCACCACCCTCGACAGGAAATGCAAGGAGAATGCTTTCAACAGTAGCTCCTGTGGAACTGCCCTCTCCCCATCAGCTCTCCCTGGCCATCCATCCATCCATGGACCCCCACAGGTCCCCAGAGCTCCAGCCAGGATGGGAGCAGTGCCTGGGGGGTGTGTGCAAGTGAGGGTGTCTGTGCAGGTCAGACAGCTCAGTTGGCAGACACACAACTCCATTCCCTGAAACAACAGGTCTGAACTGAGCAGCAGCAGCTGCTGAAGCCCTCCAGGCCCAGCCCAGCTCCCAGCTGGGTAGTCTCTGTGTCCTGCAGCGGTGCATGGGCACGTTTAAAATGTCCTCATAACACATTGCACACCAGAACCCATCAGAGATGTAACTCTCAACACCAGAAGCTGCCAAGGCACAAAGCAGATGGGTCAGGGATTCGGTGTTCCTTCTGCCCCCACACGAGCTGACATCCCTTCTCGTAGTCTCTAATTCCTGGACGAGCAGCACACACCTTTCAGTGCTTCTCTGACCCAGCAGACAAACTCCTTCTGCTGGGCCAGCTCCCTCAGACAGCCACGGCGGGGCACAGTGATCCCCTGCAGCAGCTTCTTGGCTTGCACAAGCTCAGGGCTGATGGAATCCAGCTTCTGGGTCTTGTAGGATTCAAGCTTTTCTGTCTGGAAAGCAAGTGGTGCAAATACTCACTGAGTCTGAAATTGGGAAATGCCACTGGTTCTGCAGCAGGGAAAGGAAAGCCCTCTGCAAACCAACATCCCAACAGAGCAGTATCATCACCTCCCTTTAAGGAATGACTACACAAAAGCACTTGGAACATTTGATTTTTACCTCAAATAAGCACTTGGTTCAAGGAACGGCTCTTGAAAAACTGGGGTAGACTTGTGGGAAGGTTCAAATTTAGTCAACATCCTGACTGTACAGAGCCAAAATCAGGGATACTTACTATATGCAACAAGTTTTCCAGGATACTGAAGTCACCAGAAATGCCTAAACTCTCTTTGACATGGGCAATGATCTTGGCAGCATCAAAGGTTAAATGCATTTCATGGTACTGCTGGATCTGCTGGACTCGCTGGTCAACCCAGCCTCTGTCCTCTGCAGGCCAAAGCCCACAGATGGTGTTCAGCTCCGCCCTGAGATCTTCAGGATGATTTGTGAACTCCTGGAAAATTCTATCCACTGCAGAAAGTGTGAGACTTCCTGATCTGAGATCATCATACAGCATTGCATAGCTGTCAAAGCAAGGGCGGATCATGCTGTTCAAAACATCATCAAGGTCCAGCTCAGGAGCAATCTCCTCCTCGTCCTCCTCATCCTCATCCTCCTCTGGACTGTCACACCCATACTTCTCTCCTGCCTTCTGTGCTGCTTCCTCCCAGAACTGCTGGAGTATCACGCTGTCCTTAAAAGCATGCATTTTGTGGACAAACTGTTTCAGCTCTGGGCTCAGGCTGTAGAAGGTCTGCAGGGGCTTCCTTCCCACCACCACCACTTGATTCAGTCTTTTTGAGCGAAGATCTTTTGAGTGTTGAAATTCCACTTCACCTACATTCACTGTAAACAAGAGACAGGTCAGAGGGAGATCAGCTGGTACAGCCTGCCTCCAGCTCACTTCATCCCATCCCCCAAGCCACAAAACGCTACCAGGCAGGTGGACCCCTCCAAGTCTCATTTGATGCACAAGCACTCACTTGATCCCCTCAATGCTCTGGGTTTACTTCCCCCACCCCTCCTCACCCTAAATTTGGAGCTTAGAATCAAACCTGCTCCCAAAGCCAAGAGATTTTAAAGGAAAATGCTTCTTTTCTGGAGTTGCCACTTTCAGACTGCTCCCCCAGAACTCTACCTCTCACAGACTTCTGCACCTTCCTGCACATGCTCAGGAAGGTTCCCACTGCTTTTTCCTCTCTTCTGAGCTGTGTGACTTCTTCATGCCTCAATGCCAGCAGTTCTTTCAGGCTTCTCTGGAGCAGTTCCTTTTCCTCCTTTGGTCGTTGCTGGTGCTCTGAAAGAAAATGCACCTGTAATCACAAACCAGACACTTCCCAAGCCCTGCATCCCAGCTCAGGTTGGGAACTGCAGAGCCACAAACCCTGCAGTGACAACACAAACTGGAGGTGACAGCTCCTGCCCAGGCCAAGGAACAGCACTCCAAACTGCTGCAACACTTCCTGAGCATCCCCAACCCCTGCAACACCACCTGAGCATCCCAAATCCCTGCAACACTACCTGAGCATCCCAAATCCCTGCAACACTACCTGAGCAGGCCAGCATCACCACAGTGATGCTGTCAGCCAACCATGCTCCTTTGAACCCATCTCTTACTTGTCTCCCAAATGCAGAGGAACTGCTCCTTGTGCTGGAAAACCTCCTCCAGGTGTTTCACGAGGATGCAGCCGCTGTGGATGTCGTCGGTGACACTCGTAAGCACAGAGGCTGCTATGGCCATGACATCCTTTGCTTCATCTGTGAGCTTGTCCAGCAGGTTTCTGTTTGTTCCTGTTCCAGACACAAAGATCCAAACAACAGGCAGAATCAGGAACTTTTCCATGCCATGGCACAGAGTCCTTCCATTTCCTACTGAACCCCACCCAACAGCCTGTGGACTCACACCACCCTCCAACCCCTCATGTCTTTTTGAACAAAGCCAGGGTTCTCAGGACAGCATACGGAAACTTCCCATGGAGAGCCCAGACCCAAACCCTGTGGGGCAAACAAAAGCCATTGGGATCCATTCACTTGGCCAACTCTTTGGCATTTTTGTGTGCCAATAACTTGTGAGAACGTCTCAGAGAAAGAAGCTATGATCCACAAATCCTGAGGAAGCTGCAGTGGATCAGCACAAGAGGAATAGTGGCTCCCTCTTCCTTGGCCTTCCCTCTCCAAACCCAAGCTGAATAGTTCAAGCTTTGAGATAGGCACTAAAACAAGAGCAGGACAATTTCACTCTGCTGCTCTGTGCAGTGGCAGCAGTGAGGCAGAGAAAACTTCTCAGGGCCTCCTAAAACCCAACTACAGACCTACCATTAAAGCTGAAGATTTGTTTGATGTCAGGCCACGTGAGCAGGTGGTGCAGAATCGTATCAAAATTGTCCTCAGACTGCCCAGCCCTGACTGGCCACGACTTCACTATGACAGCAGACACGAGCTGGCTGAACTGGCCCATGTTGTAGGCAGAGATCTGCTCCAGGAGATTGCTCTGCATCTGCCAGGGCACACAGAGAGGGCAGGGGTGGGTCAGACTCTGGGGTGCCACCGTGTCTGTGCCTTCCCAACCAGCCCTGTGACACAACTGACACCAGAGCTCACGGTGGAAACACGTTACAGATATTCCTCACGGACCTCATTTCCTGATTTCTTGTGATTTTTTGTTGTTGGTTTAACAAACAATCCACAGCAACTCAAGCAACATCCACCTTCCCTTTCTACCACAAGGCACATCATCCCTGTGCAACAGAATTGCTGTGGAATTCCACTTTTCTTTCTCCTCCCTTCCCTACCTTTCCTTTCCCCTACCAGGGCACACACAATACCTGGCAAGCTGCAGGTACAGCCTCTACAGCACAGTTCTGGAAGCACCAGCTGATGGAGGAGTCCATCTCTGTGATGTGGTGGTGCTGACAGCAGTACACCAAGATTTGGTTCACTGGAGGTTCCTGAAGGGCAAAAGGGAGATTTCTCATCAGCTCAAAGTGTTTCTCCTGGCAGCATGAAGCAGTGTTGCTATCAAGACAATCAAAGGAATCTGAGCATCAGCCCATTTCTGAGAGCCTGGGAGAGAGATCAAACAAATAAATGCTTGGAAAATATTTAAATGATTTCCATCTAAAGTGTGTGATTACTTAATATCCACCTCTCTAAGCCACGCTCACAGCAAAAAACATTTGTTTCCTGATTTCACCGTGAAAATCAATGGCTTAAAGCAATGTGTAACTGCTGTAGAAAGGAGATGAGATATACAGTGTTAGTTTGGAAGAGACTTACACACACTGGTGTGCATTTGGGAGCCTGAGCAGCACCATTTCTGCACAAGGAATGAAAACAGAGCCACCAACTTGGCTTCTCTGAGCCCCTGGGTGTTTATTTTGCACTTGCTAGCTCTTAAAACCACAGAGGTGACAATTGTTCAGAATGTGGATTTCCTCTGAAGCAGCAGCACCTGCAGCCAGGCCTCTGACCAAGGTTACAGCGTGGGACATTGTCATGGCCAACTGCTGAGCCTCCAGAACCTGGTTCATAACAGCAATGGCAATTGTTAAAGCCAAAGCCACCACGTTTGCTCCAAGCACAGCACAAGTCACTCCATCTGCTCTGGACACCAGCCAAGGCTGCCTGGAGTCTCCCCTACCTGCTGGATTCTTTTCTTCAGATCTGCAAGTAAAGTGTTCCTCCACGTCTGGGTGAACTGCTCATCTGGAAAGCTGATAGTCACAAACTTATTCCAAGCCTGCAGGGGACAAGCAAACCAACTCAAACCACTGAGTGCTGAGATTTAACAGAGAAAGGAAATTAAAAGAACAATGTAGAAGAGATGCCCCACACGCCTCAGACAGTCTGCAGCCCTCCCAGATGTTTCCATCCTGAGGAAAAGGAGCACTCCCAGAGCTGCAAAAGGCAGCTTTTAAGCCCAAACAGTGTGTAAATATCTCAGCTGCTAAAGGAAACTTTTGGATGAGCCACTTCCACCCTGCTGCTGGAAACTGTCCCAGGGAAGGCTAGGAACAGCAGCTCAGACTGGCAGGGCTGCTCTGAGCTTTGCCTGCTGGAAGGCCTGAGGATAACCAGTGGGACACAGTGGGAACAAGACAACACCAAGGGGCAGCTCCTCACCCCAGCAATGCCTTTAGGAACAGCCAAGGATGAGCAGAACGGAGGGGAGCTTCAAATACTGCCCATCCCCACCCCACTCCTTACCCAGCTGCAGCTGCAGAGCCCAGCAAAGAGCCAGCACACTCAAGACCTTGGCTAAGCTACAGTAAAGCCCCTTTGTACTGACATTACGAGAAGATGACAAACCCGAAGTTCAAAGAACAAAGAGAAGGCCACGTGGTCCAGGTACTCCTTCAGTAATTTCTGTTTTAAAACGTTTCTGAACCAGGTTCGAGCTTCCCTCAGAGCTCCACTGAGCAGCTTTGGAACTTCCTGCACAGCATCCCCTGGAACCTGCCCCACACAGAGGGGAAGACAACAAAATAAACACAGTTCAAGCAGGACAGCAATAGACAACAGATTTACATCAGTATTTCTAAAGAGAAGGCCCAAACACACCCAGAACACAAAAGGGCCCAGCAACAGACTCAGCACTGCTTGAATAAAGAGCAGAGAGGCTGGGAAAGTGCACTGCTTACAGGCAGGTTGTGCTTAAGCTTGTTCCAGGAAGTAAAGATAACAAATGCTTAAAGGGAAACATAACCAGACTTAAGACAAAGTTTATCACAGCAAACCTGAGCATCTGACCTTATTTCCAATAAGAACTAAGCTCATCAGGTGACTCCACACCTGTCTGAAAGTATCACAGTCTTGCTTAGAGTGTGAAGTTCTTCAAACAGAGACTGGATCTGACCTAAACCCAGTGTGTTGTGCCACACTTGTGACATTTCTTGCTTGTATCAAGCCAAGAGTTCCTTGGTACTCACTGCTGGGGGCTGAAGCTGGGCAACCTTGGCAATCAGGGTGGCAGCAGTGGCAGGGATCAGGAACGACCCCACTGTCTTGGTAGCCTTGCAGAGCCTCTCGTGCAGCCTGAGGCAGTAGGACAAGCAGCACCGCCAAGAAGGAGCCCCCAGAGCTCTGCAGGGCAGCAACACAGAGGGAGAGTTAATCTTCTGCTCTGAGGAAAAATAAAAAATTAAAAACAAAGTAAAAACCCCACCAAATTCAACATTGCGTGGCAGCTGCCTCCCTCAGCTGGATTTAAAAAATGGGATAGAACTCCATGATTCTTTTCTTCACAGACATGTCAAGGCACACAAGCAGGACCCCAGCCCTGGTACAGAGGCAGACAATGCTCTCACAGAGCTGCACTGCACTTACCTGGCTGGGGGCTCATCCAAGGCATGCAGCACTGTGTTTAGAATCTTCTCTACCTGAGAATGGAAAGACAAAAACATGAAACTGTGGAAGAAACTCTGATTAGCTGAGGAAGAGGGAACTCACTATTCTTTTGCATCTTCTCCAACACTTTTATAAATACACTGTAAAATAGCAGAACTTATCTACTGGATGTCAGAGCCAATACTGGGGCAGCTTTTATATGCACAAACCCAACCTGTACTTCTTACAATTTGGAGGTCTCAAATCTATTATTAGTTGCAAGGTCCTACTCCTGCTGTCCTCACAGCAATACAAGAGTTTTCACAACAGCAGGAAAATCTCCCAAACCAGCAGCCCCTTGCCCAACCCTCCTGTGCAAAGAACAGTTTCAAGTACATGTCTGAGGAGATCAGAAATGAAATATTTACCATCACTAACCAAGAGCAAATCCAGCTAAGAACACCCTCCCTCATCAGTGCCAACACCACTTTTTGCTGCAGATAAACCCCCAACTCTCCCCCTGAGGAGTCTCTGACTCCATAGCAACTATTTTTGCTCTTAGCTAGGTTTGAAGCTCTTTGTGCTGTGACCTGCTGCCAGCCCCAGTCCCCTCAGTGGTGCTCAGTTTGAGCCTTCATCCCCGAGCTGGGTAAAGCTGCCAGAAGACAAACCTGAGAGCTTCTCCACGAGAGGTCAACATTCTCCAACCTGTACAGAACACCTTCAAGGGTAACTAACAGGTCACTGGAGAAGTCTCTTATGAACTCAGCCAGGCTCTCCAGGGGCAGCACACAGAACCAGGACTTGACCAGAGTCCCATCAAATTCCATCAAGTGCTTCTTTTCTCTCATTTGTTCCAGCAGGGTGCCTCTGGAGGGGAGAAAAAATCTTCAGGATTCCAGTGAACAAAAGGCTGTGAGCTTGTGCAGCCCACATAGGAATCTCCTCCTCATTCCTGTGCTTTTGCCCCTGCAGCTGAGATGAGTGGGAGTCCCCAGGGCCCTGGGGGGGCACAGAAGAACCAAACCACCAAGCACAAGCATTCAGAGTCTGACAATGACCTGGCGTTTATTTTCCCAACACAACAGGAGCAGCTTTAGCTCCCACCTGCTCCCTGGCTGGCAGAACTGGGGGGTTGTGTTTGAGGGGTCACACCGTGCCCAGCTGGGCTAACTCAGTGACCCCTGAGCCACCAGTGTGGCTGTGCCCAAACACCCCAAACATCCTCCCTCAACATGATACATTTCATACTCTTTAAAAATGAGGGAGGGGAAAAACAACAAAAAAAAGAGAGATGAGGAGGGCACTGGGAGGAACTGGGAGATCTGGAAAACTCACGCATCTTGCTTCCTCCTGATTTCAGCAAATGGAAGTCCTTCCAGCCCTGCCCAGGCATCCTCCTCCACCAGCCCGTGCTGCTGCTGCTGCTGCAGGGGAGCAGCAAAGGAATGCAGAAGGGGAAGGACCCACACCCACTGGTCTATGTCATATTCAATGCACCTCTGGCACAAGTTTGTCAGGTCGACCTTCAAGCTAAATAAAAAAAAAGAAAACAAAACAAACACACTGAGTGAAAGAACAGCTTTATCCCAGCCTTGAGAACACCCTAGGGGTGTGGGAGGCTACTTTTCCATCTCCCTATGTGCCTTTAATTAACCTCTGGTCATTATTTTAGCTCCATCTACTCTTCATTGCAGAGTGTAGCTGCCCAGGTTTAAGGGCCAGAGCTGCAATGTTACTGAATCTCTCTGCACAGATCCTGCTACCAGAGCACTGGGAAGACACAATCCTTTAGCTACAGTCTCCCCATGAGCCCCCCCAGCCCTGTGACACCCACACAGGTAAGGACTCCAGAAACAAATGCAATGGCTGCAGCTGTGTGAGTGAAGAACTCCAAATTCAGTGCCAGCTAAGCAGTCAGATTACAACCTGGCAAACAGGCACTCCAGGGAAACCAACCAAAAGTGTGGAATGGTGCACTGCAGCCTTGCCTGGATGCTAGCCCTGCTTCAAGCAGGAGGCTGGAACTGAGACCTCCAAAGATACCTTCAAATATAGCTTTTTCTCTGGTTCTCTGGCAGTAGAGAGCTGGATTCCTGTTGTTTTATCAAAGCAACACCAGCCTGGTCAGTTAGAAGGTACATGGAGCACTTACTTGGTAACTCCTGCAAAAGCCTGTTTGATGTGATGAATCTCATCCTGTACATCTTGTGGTGACACCTGATCCAAGCACAAGAGGCTGCACAGTTCAGCCAGGTCACTTTTAGGTACTACAAGTGAATGGTTCTCAACTACCACAAGAATGGTGAGCCCCACAGCCAGTTTGCTTTGGATGATTCTGTCTTCTGGAGCTGCTTCTGGTGCAAGGAAAGGGAGAGCTATTTTCTGCATGTATTTTAGCAGCAAATCATTCACCTGGGACAAAGAAGAGAAGAAACAAACCAAGCACAGCATTAGCCTTTCTCTTCTGAAGCCAACATCTTCTGCCAGTTCCAGAGAGGCCACGGGACAGGAAGGAGCAGCCCCGAGGACCAAAAAAGACAATGGGTCATTTCTGTCACATTTCCTAGTTATGTCAAGTAAGAAATTTTGAATTACAGAAGCCTTTCTGGCATCACTGCTTAGAACAGGATCAGGAGCTTCTCCCAAAAAGCAGGCAGGTTTGGAGCAAGAGATGAGTACAGAGAAGCTGTTAACGACAGAACAACAGGCAGCAAAATTTAATGGCAAGGCTTAGGAAATTAATATCCAGACACAAAACCCACTCAGGTACAAAGTCATCACATCACAGCCCTGCTGCTGACCCCCATGGGGTCTCAGAACCACACTGAGGTGCACAGGTTTGACTGGAGCCCCCAAGGCAGTCAGTGACAGCCACCCCAGAAGGATCCCCACTGCTTCTGTACCCAAACTTTGACTGGAAAAGCAAAATGAACCCAGCGAGGTCAACAGCAAAATTAAGATTTGTGGTCAGCGACAGAATGTCTTCTGTCTCTGTGCAAGAGAAGGGAGATTACCTGCTCTGTGCCGAAGTTTAACTCTCTCCATGGCACTGCCTTGCCTTCAAACACCCGCTGGGCTACTGCAACATAATGGAACTGCTTCAGCTGGCAGAAGAAATTCCTCAGATTGTCAGGACTCCAGGTTCCAAGAATGCTGAAGATACTTTCTAACATAATATTGGCAGCTATTTTCTTCCCTTCCACCACTTCCTTGTTTTTATCAAAAGTAAAGATCTGTCGAAAGTTTTTGAACTTGGAAGGTTTTGCACACACGATGTCATCGTACTGGTGCCACTCTGGAACGGCAGCACAGGGAGAACACAGGAAAACAACCATTACAATCAGGTGCCTCTTCCCTTCCAGCTGCCTCAGCAGTACCCCCAGCAGCCCACTGAGCTGCCAGCTTCAGACAGGGCTGCCTGCCACGAATGCTGGGCCACAGGAGAGCAGGGATCAGCCCAAGGTGCAGGTCCAGCCAGCAGAGCTCACCTCCATTGTTGAGAAGTGTGCTGTTTATCAATAAGCAGCGATTCACGTGTTGATTGGATTCTGAATTCTTGTAAATGAACTCGTACTCCCCCTTCCCACAGAACACCCAGTACTTGTAAGGAATGTATTCATCCAGGATTTCTCTGCTGAGAGTTACAGCACCTTCAATGAGGTATCCATGTTCTCCCAGATGCCTTGGAAACACAAACACAGCAAAGGCAGGTAAAGAACATGTTAGCTGATCTACAGACCTTTTTCGTGCACTGCTCCATTTTTAATAGGAATGGTGACTGTTCTTTCACAAGAACACTTTAGAACGGTTTTCTCCGCTGTGAAACCCTTCGCTGCAACCCCCAGCTGTGGGCACAGAGCCATCCCTTGCAGAGTGGCTGAGGCCCCAGAGGGACCCCGTTCTCAGAGCAGGGAACACTCACCGGGTGCAGTTCAGCTCACAGATGTTGTCCTTCCAGTTGGCGTAGGAAGGAATGCCCTGAGCCCTGATGAACACTTTATGGGTATCGGGGTCGAGCTTGAAGTCTTTGGATAATATTGCATGGAAATACACTGTAACACGCTCATTGCGGCTCACAGAACTGCAGGACAGAATTGGAAGGGGAATAGAAGAGATTCTGTTGGTGTTTTTTTAATTGCACAAATCACTGCAGACCTCAAATCAGACTCGAGCCACCAGCTGAGTGGCTGCAAGACCCATTAACTCCGGCAGCAGTTCACTCAGACTGATACTTGAGCAGGCCTAGTGCAAAGCCCAGTGCAAAAAAGGAAAAATGGGCTCCTAAAGGCAGCAGGAGATGCTCTGGCCCATCAGAGTCACCTGGAATGGCTACACTTTCAACCCCTTCCAGCTCATACACATTAAGCAAAATATGAAAACAGCTCTTCACACTATTCACCTGAAGCATTGTGTGTGTGTGTGAAGCACATACTGCTCATAAGAGCAAGAAATAAGAGAATAATCTTTTTTGTCCATCAGATGCTCAAGCAGGCTCAACACATCACCCATGCTGCAGCTCCCATTCAACAATGGTTCTGTCATGCACAACCACTTCACCTCAGTTTCAAGATAATTCCATTTCCACATGTCTGTATGTACTGACCCAATCCCAGCACCTCAGTCCGGAGTCCTGAGTCCTCCTCACAGCAGCTCCTGTTAGTGAGGAATGCTGGGGAGCAGCAGGGCTGTTCTCACCTTTCTTTAATATTTTCCACTGGTTTCTGGTTCCTTTGTTCCTTTTTGTTCTTGGGGCTGTCTGCTGCAGCCACAGCACCCTCCTTCTTGGCAGCCTTGGCTCCTTGGCTTGGACTTGTCTTCTCACTCACACTGGGCATTTTCTCACCTGGGGTCTGATTTTTCTCTTTTGTGTTTGCATTCTGCAACAGGGAGACAAACAATGCCCAATGAAACAGGAGACTCTGGAAGCACAGCATCTCCTCCTGGTGTGTTAGTGATTGGGACTCCTGGTGCAAGCAAGAAGCCATTTATGGTTTCTACAACTCAGTTTATATACTCTTACAGCCTTAGGTAAAATCTTTCACTGCTGAGCAATAACCACATTACTCATGTTTCTTAGCTACACTGCCTAACCACAGTCTTGCACCTGCAGTCTTGCATGACTTCCTTTAAACAAAGCCAATTTCCTTTTCGCTTCTCCCTTACATTTCTGTTTGATGTTCCCAGGGCTTCTGGCCCAGCAGAGTCAAGATGGTCACATCATCCATCAACAGTGCAGCACTTTCTGATCTACTGCCCATCTTGCCCCCAACACTGGTGCACCACCAGCTTCATCCTCCTGGAAGCACTGGAAACAACTGATCCATCACTGAGGGAAGCCACTGGCTAAGGAAAACAGTCCAGGATGGAAGAAGAGCCCAACCCAAACACACTGCCACACAGCCAGCTCAGCGAGCCCCAGGTCCCAGAGGATGGGGCATCAAGAAAGTGAAAGAGAAACCACAGCAACTTCCAGCTCACCAGGCCTGCAGAGCACAGGCACATGCAAAGCACAAAATCCCCCCGTGCAAGGGGATCCCAGAGCTCTCCAGAGAGCATGGCTGGTTGGAGAAGAGATACCTCCCAGTCCTGGGGGCATCTGAGCAACCCCTCAGTGAGAGCTGGGCTAGAACTGACTCCTGGGTAGAACAGAATTCAAATTAGAGCCCCCCCATAGTCCTCCCCAGTTCATCCCTGTATGCCTGGTGCTCCTCAGCCTCAGTGACAGCATGACCAAGTCACACTGGCAAAGGGAAGCTGTGCCCACTGGAACACTCACCAGAGCTCACTCACACTCACCTTGACAGTGGAACTGGTCCCTTTCTGCTTGGGCTCCTTCCCAGCCTGCAGGCTCAGAGCCCCAGGGGAGGTTTTGGTCTCAGGCTTGCTTTGGGGGGCTCCCTTGGCAGGAGGCAGCCTGGGACTGCCAGGAACTGCTCCCCCGGCAGAGGGACTCGCTCCCTGCCCTGCTGACAGCCGCTCCTTGCTGCTGCCCCGGGCCTGAGAACCTGCTGTGGCTGCTGGCAGCTGGCCAGGGGCACCACTGTCCCGTTCCACATCACCTCTGGCTGTTCCTCCGTGTTCTGGGGTTGCTCCATCCCCCGCCTTTTCCCCAGGGGCTGCAGTGCTGGGAGCTGGGGCAGCCGCCCTGACTGTGCTGCTCTGCTCTGCAGGGCTCAGCCTCTCTTCAGCCTCCAGGCTGTCAGCTTCCTTCCCCAGGTGTGCCAAATCCCTGTCACCTCCAGGTGTGTCTCCACTGGCATCAGCATGTCCATCAGCACCTGGGCTTGCTCCCTCACCTCCAGGGGATTGGATTTCTTGAGGAGTAACACCTGTGTCAGGCAACTCTGTGGTTTGAACTGGTGCTGTGCTTTGAGGAGGCAGAGAGTCCTCTTCCCCAGAGATGGACTTCTTTTCTGTAGTCTTCTTCCTTTTCTATTAAAAAAAAAGAAAAACAAAGACCACAACGTCTGTTTATTCATTGCCAAAGGGAAACTCTTTGTCACCTCCACCACTGCAGCAAGTGCCGACATCTTCCTGCTACACGGGGGCTAACAGAGAATGATCAGGAAGAGGAGGGACAAGACCAGCCAGTGAAATGCAAATAACTCTTGAGAAAGCCTTGCTCAGCAGGAGCACAGAGCAGCGCTGCAGTGTCTAAGCTGACTCACGTAATTTGTGGTTTCCCCCAGCACTGCACGCACAACGCAGCATCAGCAAACACAGCAAGCTTCTGGAGGAAGCCAGGCAGCAGCTCCCCGACGTGACCAAAGGGATGTGGGGGATGCAGCCCGGCCTCCACACTTCACACAAGAGAGCAACAAGTCACAGCTGCTCCCCAGCAGGATCCTCACCTTCCTCAGTGGAGAATCCACCTCAGCAGAGTCACCAGCCCCGCGCTGAGCCGAGGGCTCCGCATGGTTCTCTGGAGCTGTGACATCCTCCAGCAGCGAGGATCCCTCTTCCTCCTTCTGCGTCTCAGCAGAGCTGGGAGATCCATCGGCAGTGTCATGTGTGGTGTTGGGCAGGGCTCTTGCTCTGTCCATCAGTGCCTCGCCCTCTGTCTTCTTTGTTTCAGGTGGTTTTGGTGGAAGGAGGCCCAGCAGCACCTCCTTTCTTCACCTCTTCCTCTGCATCAGGGACTGGAGGGACCTGCACCTCTCTTCTCCCTGCAATGGAGGGAAATTAATTGTTAAACTGGAAACTCACCCCCCCAGTGGGGTTGCAGGATGGTTTGGGTTGGGAGGGACATTAAAGCTCATCTTGTCCCACCCCTGCACCTTGCACTGGACCAGGTTGCTCCAAGCCCCTGGATGGGGGAGAGAATCAGAAAAAAAGGCAAAACTTGTGGGTTCAGATAAACACAGTTAAATAGGACAAAAAAAGAAAATGAAAATGACAATAACCATAAAGGAATATCCAAAGCCAGTGATGCACAAAGTGCTTGCTCACCACCCTCTGAGCCATGCCCAGCCAGCCCCTGAGCAGTGACCCTCACCCCTCGGTCAAATCCCCCCAGTGCTTCCTTCAGCACCATGCCCTGTGCTCTGCAACATCCCTCTGGGCACCGGGGCGGCTCTCCTGGCTCTGCCCCCTCACAGCTCCTCGCTGCCTGGGCAGCCTGGGACCTGAGAAGTCCTTGGCTTAGTGTAAGCATTGCTCAGCAGCAGCTGAACCATCAGGCTGTTATCAACAGGAGCCTCATCCTGAACCCAAACACAGCTCTGAACCTGCTCCTGGGAACAACAAAGTGTCCCAGCCAAAGTCATGAACACACAGGAGCTGTTTGTTGATCCCTGTACAGCTCCCACCAGCCATGCCACCGCTTTCCCTTACAGCCTCCTGCCCTCTCTAAGGCCCTGCCAGATGCAGAATAATTAAGGAACCCCAGCACTGGTGTAGAGCTCCATCCCTGTCCCTGCTGCAGACACAAACGCAGCAGCAGTGCTGGCAAGCAGCCGCCTGTGCCAGTGCCTGGAGCCCAGCGTGAGCAGCGACAGGACAGCGGCACCTCCCAGCTGGCACAGCCTGCTGTGACCGCTCCCACTCAGCTGAGGGCTTTCCAAGAAGGCAGAAGAAACTCCCTTTTTATCTTCACAGCTTTATCCAGTCCTTCAAAAACATATGGAACGGTAGCTCTGGGTCCAGTCAGGCAGCAGAGCAAATCTCTGCCTTCTGCAGGGGTTTCACAGGCTCCTCCACACTGCCTCCACCCCAGTTCCGAGAGCAAAAGCTTTGAACCTCAGCTACTTTTGATGCTCTTCCTACAGCATTCCAGAACTGGAGATCCCAGATTTGTTACCCTGCCATGCTGGAGTGCAGGGGGGTTTGCTAAGAACTGACCCTGGGGGGACCCCAGCAGCTCGATTCCGATTTAGTGTGCTTTTCTAGCATCACATTCTCTCTGTCAACAAACCAAAAGGCATTCTGGTGGCCCAGGTCATTTGGTCTTAAACAAGTAAAGGATTAGGAAACATTTCCCCCAGCAGAACCGTGTTGAGCACTTGATTCTGTCTCTGTTCAGCAAGGCAAAATTAGCATGTTGTCAAACACAACTCAGGGGTAAGCTCTAAATCTAACAACAAGCTACAAATCGGAAATTCTGTGTCAAAAAGGACTCAACCAGTCTTTTAACATAGAAACCAGCACTACTTCATTGGTAAAATAAATTAGTTCAACACTGGAGGCCTGAGTGTGGAGACTGTGTAGGATGTGTCACCAACTGAATCACTTCTCTGTCTGCTGACAGTCACTGCCAAGCAAAGAAAACTGTCCGGTCAGAAACACCAGGGGAGGTTGAGACAGAGATTGGGAGGGGAGTTTGGGATAGGAGCAGAGCAGAATGAGCTGGGCAGAGCAGAGCCCAGAGCCACACGGGCACCAGAGGTGACACAGGCAGCCTGCGGTCAGTGCGCAGCCCGGCCCGGCTGGGTCCCGGGGCCCGGCACGGCCCCGCAGCCGCTGAGGGACCGGGCAGGCCCTGCCCGGCAGCCAGCGGGGACAGACAGGGCCGGGGCAGAGACACAAACACCGGCACAGCCGTGTCACCTCCTCCTCTGCCCGTTTTATTGTCAGGAAGCGACCTGCGACACTGCAGAGCCGGGCTGGGAGCGTGAGGGGAACCACAGCGCTTAAAGGCAAACAAACACAAACAGCGAGCGCGCCCCCGCCTTCAGGCCCCGTGCTCCCAACCGAGGGCCTGGCTCCCCTTCCCGGAGCCTTGCCCGGGGCTGCTCCGCCGGGCTGGGCCGCGGCCGGGAGCCTTGTTCCAGCGGCGGGGCCGGGCCATGGCTGAGGGCCGCTGCCCGGGCCGACCCCGCCTGGGCGGGGCCTGCATCGTGGGCGGGGCCCGTATGCAAATGACAACGCTCGCGCTCCCCGCGGACTGGCGCCTCTCCGCCCCCTCGGGAGATATGCTAACGAGCAGGGTGGATGGGCCAATGGTGTGGCGAAGGAGCGGTCGTATGCAAATGAGCCAGCTATGTGTGTGAGGGGCGGGGCTAGCGCAGCTCCCGGGGGGCGCCGGGAGGGCCCAGTGGGGGGGACACGGGGAGAGCCGGGAACGGGGTGGGGGGGACGACACACGGGGAGAACCGGGGGGGAGGAACACGGCATAGGAGCGTCCCGGGCGAACAGGGAGGAGATGGGAGTCCCCGGGGACGTACCGGAGGGCTCCGGGCAGATTGGGGATCAGGATGCACCGGGGAAATCGAGGCGCTTCGGGGGCACCGGGAGGGTACAGCGGGACCCGGAGCCCGCAGCGCCGCCTGCCCCGGAGCCGCGGCTGCCCCCGCCCCGCGCCGCCCGCACCAGATCCCCCCAGGCCCGGCGCCCCGTGCCGCCACTCGCCGCCCCGGCAGCGCGACTCACCGAGTGACCGGGCACGGGCACCTGCAGCGCCCGCTCTTCCCGCCGAGTCCCGCCCGGACAAGTTTCGTTTCTCCGCCGAGCCGCCAACTTTCGTTTTTGCAGTCGCGGTCCCCGCCCAGCCCCGGACCGCCCCGGCCAATCCCGGCCCCGGGCGGCTCTCGGCGGGTCCCGCCCCGTCTGGCCGCGCCATCCCGGCCGGGGTCCCCTCCGGTACCCCCCGAGCATCCCCCCACCCACCAGCCCGGTGCAGGAGTCCTGCAGCAGCAGTCAGGGCAGGTGTGACGGAGAGCACTTTGTGCGGCCCCCGACAACCAAAAGCGGGTTCCGCAGTCAAAAGTGGGGGTACGGCTGGTGCCCCATCCCGGAGCCCACCAGGAGCGAGCCGAAGGCGGGCTCGCAGCAGCCCTGCCCTCCAGCAGTGCTCACACAGGTTTGAGCACACACACATTCCTAAACAACCAGCCCGTTTTACCCCCATGGCCCCGTTTTCCCCCTCCCGGCACCCCCATGGTGCAGCAAGGAACTCACAGCTCAGTGCACTGCAGGGCAGGACCGGAGCCCCGGCAGGTGTGTGATTCCCGGGCAGGTGTGTGATTCCTGGGCAGGTGTGTGATTCCTGGGCAGGTGTGTGATTCCCGGGCAGGTGTGTGGCTCCCGGTAGGTGTGTGGCTCCCGGTAGGTGTGTGGCTCCCGGTAGGTGTGTGGCTCCCGGGAACCCGCGCCGCCCTTCCAGCACCTCCGGCAGCAGGAGCTGTGCAGAACGTGCCCTCGGGCTCCGCTCACCCGCGCTGCCCCAGATTGCTTTCGGTTTCCTTTCCCCGGCACGCTCAGCAGCACCCAGAAGATAACTCCCCTTCCCACACAAAAGGAAAAAGCTTTCCCTCCGGAAGGCAGAGATCACACTGACTCATTAGCAGTTTCTGATTTATTACACCGTCGCTGTATTCTGAATTCCCGACCGTGCCCAGCCCCACCAAGTGCTGTCCCCATCGCACAGCCTGGTGTCACCTTGCCTGTCCCTTCGGCAGGGCCCAGGGTGACAGCCCAGCCCTGACCCAGGGCAGTGTTTGGCACAACACCCCACAGACAAGGATAAAAAAGGTAAGGATAAAAATCAGTAAGGAGCACAATCCCAGACGTTTTCCCTCTCCCAGAGCTGGAGGCTGAGCCCCCGTGTCCACTTGGAGGGCAGAACAGCAGCCCTGAAACAGCATTGAGAGCTCACCCTGTGTCACCACTGCAGTGACCCAGAACATGAAAAAGGTCCAGAATTAAAACAGTCATTTAAAAAATGTCAGCAGTTCCCTGGAGGAAGGATGGCTTTGCACTGGTCACTGTGACAAGGAACAGGTATGTCCCACAGCCCGTGTGGGGCCGGGCTGGTGCTGCTCTGTCCATCTCACCGTGGGACATGGGGACAGTCCATCCCCGTGCCCAGGATGAGGCAGCTGGCTCCCAGGGAGGGTGCTGGTGTCACTGGAGGACGTTCAGCCCAAACTGGTCTCACTGGATGAGCCCGGTGCTCTCGGCAGTGCTGGTGAGGGGCTCTGCCCTGCTGCCCCCCAGCTCCGGTGCCCTGCACCGCTCTGGGACAGGAGGGGGGAAGCAGAGTCAAGGCAAGGCTCATGTCCTGGCTCTGCCTGGGACAGAGGGAATTTTCTTCCCAGGAGCTGGTTCAGAGCTGCGTTTGGGTTCAGGATGAGGCTCCTGTTGATAACAGCCTGATGGTTCAGCTGCTGCTGAGCAATGCTTACACTAAGCCAAGGACTTCTCAGGTCCCAGGCTGCCCAGGCAGCGAGGAGCTGTGAGGGGGCAGAGCCAGGAGAGCCGCCCCAGTGCCCAGAGGGATGTTGCAGAGCACAGGGCATGGTGCTGAAGGAAGCACTGGGGGGATTTGACCGAGGGGTGAGGGTCACTGCTCAGGGGCTGGCTGGGCATGGCTCAGAGGGTGGTGAGCAAGCACTTTGTGCATCACTGGCTTTGGATATTCCTTTATGGTTATTGTCATTTTCATTTTCTTTTTTGTCCTACTAAATTGCCTTCATCTCAGCCCAAGAATTTTCTCTTTTCTCTGCTTCTGTCCCACCCCTCTGCAGGGGGAGTGAAGGGCTCTGTGGTGCTGAGCTGCTGCTGGGTTGCACCACCAGAGCTCACCATGAATCCCCAAGGCTGGGGAGACCCAATTCTTGGGAGGGGCTCCAGCTCACCCTCCCAGGAGCCCCTGCAGCCCCACACTGCTGTTCTGCAGCTGGACAGGTCAGATCCCCACAGTGTCCTCCAGAGCCACGCTCACCCCGTGCTGGGAGAGCAGCCCAGAGCCTCACCTGCCTCCTCCCAGCTGGGGAAATGCTGGAATCCTTCCAAGTCTGCAGACAGGAGCACTTGGAGAACGGGGTCCTGAGGGCAGAGAAACCTGCCACTCCCCATCCACCAGGGCAGAGCCCCCAGCCATCCCAGCACCCCCAGCCCTGTGAGATGAAGGTGCTCGGGATGGTGATGGTGCCACCTGAGGAGAGGCCAGCACAGAGCCCGGGAGGACAGCTGGGCTGAGCCCATCAGCCACACCCACACCCTTCCCAGTGCCAGGGTGGCGTGGCCAAGGTCCCACACACCTGCAGGCCACAGAAGGCCAGCGAGAGGCCATGCCTGTGCAGCTCCTGCAGCAGCTCTGCCAGCCCCAGCACCGCCGTGTAATCGATGCTGCTGACGTGGCTGCAGTCCAGCACCACAGAGCCTGGTGGAGATGCTGCTGGAAGAGCATAAGGGCATGTCCCAGCAAGTCCAGAAATGAGCAGCCCAGGGGTCACAGCCCTCAGAGCCAGGGCAAGGCTGGCAGGGTGGCACAGCTGTGCTGTCACTGCTGACACCTGCAGTCCCTGGGCCTGGCAGCACCTGCCACCCACAGCAGAGTGATGCAGGTGGCGACAGGCGTGTCCCCAGTACAGCCCAGGAGCACTGTACCTGCCAGAGCACGGCTGCACACCATGTCCCTCAGGTGCTCCACAGCTGGGAAGTGCAGGCTGCTCCCCAGCTGCACCAGCAGCACGGACCCCTCTGACACCTGTGGAGGGACAGAGCCACAGGAGCTCAGGGCTGTGACCTCCCCAGGCAGGGACAAACACAGGAGCGCAGGGCTGTGACATCCTGAGGCAGGGACAGCCACAGGAGTCCAGGGCTGGGACCTCTCCAGGCAGGGACAGACACAGGAGCGCAGGGCTGTGACATCCTGAGGCAGGGACAGCCACAGGAGTGCAGGGCTGTGACCTCTCCAGGCAGGGACAGCCACAGGAGCTCAGGGCTGTGACATTCCCAGGCAGGGACAACTGCCCGTGCCACTCCCTGCCCTCCTGGATGGATTGGGAGGAGCAGGAGCCCCCATGCCTCAGGGAAACCCTCCTGCACACAGCCCAGTGTCAGCAGGGCAGGGCAGTGATGCCTCCCTGTCCTGCTCTCCGGTCTGAGGATATTCCCTTCCTCCTGCTCTTTGAAAGGGGTCCCTGTGCTGTGCCCGTGGCAGACTGGGGACAGCAAGAACAGGTCAGAAGCATCCTGCACCCCAGCACGTCCCTGCTCTCAGGAGCCCCCTCCCAGCTCCCTGGCCCTGCCACATCCAAGGGTGTGAGAAATGGATTTCTAAGGAATTCTCAAAACCTGACAGAAAGCTCACACAGTCTTGTAAAAGTGTGCGCAAACTCTGAGATAAGGCTTAGGAAGGCCATGGAATAGAGATGACATTGTTGAGAGAGAGATTGAACTGGAAACAAGTTTCAACCAGTTTCAAACGATGGCCTTGCAAAAAGACCAGATATTTTAGAGAATTAGAACTGTGAAAGATGCACTGTAGCATTACGTGGGGTAAAAATATAACTGATTGGTGTTAGAAGTAATAGCAGCATTGTGGGGCAAAAGCTAACAGGCTAGAGGACATTTATAATGTATTGTAATAAGGAAATGGGTTGGCTTCTAATGGAATGGCATTGAGTTTTCCATCTCTTATGTCTCACCCTTCATCGAGGGTGACAATGGAATAAATCCTTTAAAATGCCTCTCAGTTACTCCATCTCAGTAAAGCTGGGAACACCAACACAAGGGCAGGGGAGAAGCTCACCTTTATTGGGGGCCTGGCAACGGAGTAGAGCAGGAGAAGCCCAGAAACCAGCACCCCAGCCACGATTCCATACTGCACCTCCCAGAAGCAGAGCAGGAACGTCACGCAGAGGGGCACAAGGTCCAGCCCTGCAAGAGAGAGAAGCCAGGCTCAGCTGTGGCTGGTCCTGGTGCCACAGGGCACTCGGTGGCAGTGCCAGCTCTGCGGGCACAACCTGGCTGCACCCGGGTCTTGAGGAATCCACTCTTGAGGAATCCACTCCATGCAGGTGGAGCTCTGGGTGGGAGCCCTTGGGAGGGGCCGTGAACTGTCCCCTTTGCATGACAAAGCACCCGGGAACCCTGGGCAGCCACATGATGGGCACTCAAGAGAGAGTGATGGGACACTGAGACCCTGATTGGGACACTCAGAGACTGTGATGGGACACTCAGAGAGCATCCCCAGACTTTGTATGTCTATGAGAGGATAAAAGCTCACAGGCTCCTTCATTCTGGCTCCCTCCCCAGAAACACCCAACTGGAGCTGTCATTCTGTTATTTAGTTATGGCACTGTGATTAACTTATTTTAAGGGTCTGGATGTCTGAGACTCCGCTATGGGAAACCTGGGGTAGAGCTGGAGAGGAGACCTGGGCTGTGTGAGTGGGGCAGGGGGAGCTGAGCAGGGGCCTCAGTCCCAGCTCACGGGGGCACGTGTGACTGCCAGAGTGGCTCCTGGATGGCTGGACTGGGGGATTGCCCATTCCCCACCGATGCCCTCACTCTTAACCCGCCAGAGCGTCCGGAAGATGCCAGCGTCGAACATGGGCACCACGGCCGAGATGATGACAGCAGCCAGCGCTGCTTTGGGGATGTAATAGAAGAGAGAGGTGAGGTATGCCAGGGACAGCAGGACCAGGGCACCTGTGGGAGAGGGACCCTAAGCCACGGGCACCTGACAGCCAGGGGTACCCCACAGCCAGGGGTACCCGACACCCAGGGGTCCTGATACCCAGGGGTCC